TATCTTGAGAGCCATCCAGCAGCGCGCCTGCGGCAATCGCCTCCAGGGTCTCTTTATACAACTCAAAGCCCTCGCCTTCGATGGCGTTCACCTGGAAAAGGAAAAGCTCCAATCCTTCCCCATTCGAGTAGACACTCTCCGCCCATTGCCGCTGCTCCTCGGGAAGATTCACGAACCTGCTCATATAATCTTGAATCCTCGCTGGTGTTAGGCACTGCATTGCCCACGCGCGATCGCTCCACCCTCCAAAAAGGGCGCTCGACACAATCGTACTCCCACATCCACATCAAAATTCCTAATGTTTGAGAGATTTCCAGGTGCACACCAGCAGTGAAGATGGAGGCGAGTTGTAGTAATTTTCCATGCAGCTCTTCCGAAGGTAACAGATGTGCACCACAACTCGAACTTCTCAAGTTACGCCGATCTCGACCCATGGATCGCATTCGAGCATCTCTGGAGTGTGGTACACCGAGAGCTCTGGAGCTCGCATTCTCAAAGTAAGATATGTACAGCGTACTTTTTAGAAACATCGGTGGTTCTTTTGCAGGATGAATGACGAGTTGCAGGATCTGGTGGGAACATCAGAGTGCTGGGTATGTGTTAATATAGGAAGGACGAGAGGCTGACTCGTCCAAGTTCTCTTTACCAAGCAGTTTACGTATACAAGCGTTTTCACCACTCGGATTGATGCACTTGTGTCCATTGTACACTTTCAATCCGCAAACGAGCTTGTAATGTGCCAACGAATAAGAAAAAAAATCTGTTCTGTCTTCCTTTTCATAAAGTTACAGGTATGCCGGAGTGTGTAGCACACTTGATACATTGTGCTTTTGCTATTACAGGGGCGTTGTTTCATTTGCTTGCAGGGAGGGCGTTAAGCACATAGTGCTCCCAGCTATCTGCGGTCGGTTTGTACTCACACCTTACCTCTTGTATGTGGTATATTTCAGGTTTCCTTTGGATAATCTATTTTATTCTATATTCTGTTTTGGCAGTTTCGTAGTGCCCAACAAAAAGCATGAGACTGAGCAAACAAGTTTGCAAGTTTGTTGTGGAAGTCTTCTCTCTCCCTCCATTCCCACGCTCACGTTCCTCCATCTCCCAGCCCAGCTCACTTAATTTTCTATAGTTGATTGTCGGTGTGGTTTTCACTGGACTTGACACAGCTAACAATCTAAAGCCAATGAAAATAAAAAGAGTGGACACCTGATGGGAAAGTGCTGCTTTTTGTGTGTTTGGATAGTACTTTCAATCCACACCTGTCATATAATTCTGGCGCTTAGGACCACGTTACAAAATTCAACTATAAATTATTTATATAATGAGACACCTGTTAACAAAAATTTCTCTTATTCCTTCCCAGATTGTTAAACTTGATGACCTTCTAGGCAGCACACAGTCGGATTGTTAATCTTTTACGACCTTCTAGGCAGCACACAGTCTGATTGTTAACCTTTTACGACCTTCTAGGCAGCACACAGTCGGTCAAGGGAGCAAATTTCGTATGTGGCTTATCACATTAAGATCCTTGTGAGCAAAAATCTGTGAGATGAGAAAAAAATTGGTGCCTATGACTATCCAAGGCTCAAGCCACATAGACATTCTTCCCGGAGAAGTGCTCCGTGTACACCTCGTGCATGTAGTCCCTGTAAGTCCTGCTGCGGTACTTTGCCGGACTCTCCTGGCTCACCAGCTCTGGAATCGGGCTGATCTCCGCATCTAGTGACGGCCCAAGAAACGCCCCAACGGACAGCCTCGAGCTCTTCGAGTTCACCATCACCCTGTGCAGTATGCTCTTGTATCTCCCATTGCTCAGCTTCTGATATAAGACAACCAACCAAGAGTAAGATCAATCCACAGTTTCTCAAAAAGTTTTCAACTGCTCGTACCTCTAGCTGATCGCCCATGTTAACCACCAGCATTCCCTCGAGTGGCCTCACATTGTACCAATCCTCGCCTTGCTTGAGCTGCAATCCCCCGACTCCATCCTGGAGCACAAACGTGAGGCCACCACTGTCGGTGTGGCCTTCCATCCCCAAGGCTTGCCTCGGATTCGGGCAAGCCGGATAGAAGTTGGCTCTCGTCAGAAGAACCATGTCTTCGAATGCTTCCAGAAGACGGCTTGTGCGGAGGCCAAGTCCCTCAGACATGACCAACAGCATCCTCTTTCCGAGCTTGAAGATGTTTCTGGCGTACTCAGATCCAACGTCCCTGTTGCATATAGAGCATCAGCAATCTAGAGCAATACCATAATCAAGGAGCGAGATACTGACTTGTAGCTGGCTGGGAACGCGGGCCAGGGGTGCGCTCCGAGGGACTCTTCCTTGAGCCACATCTGGAGGTGGTCGTGCCACTCGAGCTTCTCTTCCTTCGAAGGCATCATGCTGGTGCAGTAGCGGACGGGCGTGAAGATCTCCTCGGTGTAGTACCGCATCTTGTCCTCGCTGGGCGAGTTGAAGAACTCGAGAGCGCACCTCATCACATCCTCGGTGTGAATGCCATGGTTCTTGAGCTGAACAAGAAATACACCCACTTAGCAAACATGTACTACAGGAAAAGACACTTCTTGAAAACTTACGTAGAACATTCCGTACTTTGCGCAAGCGTCAACGAGATCCCTCTCGAAGCTCTTGCTCGCCACATCGACTATCGGCAGCACCGCGTACCGGGAGACATCGGCAGCTCCATTCGGCATCATGTATCTGTCCGGAACGCTGTCCAGCGTCCCGTTGCAGCTGTCAACAAATGCCTTGATGCCAGCCATGGATGGGAAAGAAAGCTTCAAAGATGGAAATCGAAATATGCTTGGATGCTAGGCTTTCTCAACTTTGAGATGCGGATATCAGTGTCCACCCAGTGCTCTGTTTATATAGTTGCAAAAAATAAGATTTTCAAGTGGGCAGCACGAAGATGCTAAGAACGTTACCATTGTGCCGATTCCGGATCCGCCCCCGCTCAAGACCATTTTGTGGACTTTTCCGTATCCGTGATCTGACCAGCGTCCACATGTGGCCTGCCTCGGATCCACATCAAGCGTCAAAGCTCAACTTAGTTGACCCACCAGAAAAATCCATGAACCTTCGCAATTGTCACGTTTTCTAGTGTGCACTGAGAAACGAAAAGATCGTCCACGCAAGCGACGGCTGCAGTCGGGGCGTCACATGGACTGCAATACGAACAAGACAAAGGCATAAGAAACGATTATTACCTGCAAAGTCGGCAATGGCTCTAGCAATGGCGAGGGAGCTCTTCTCCATCGCCAGCAATCGCTGGGTCATCGCAGTGTCGGGCTTCTACCTGATAGCATGCACCGGAGGCCCAGCTTCAGCTTGTTCTCGCAGGCGCTCAAAATCTCCCTGTGTTACAAGCAAGAGTCCGTCAATACCATCAGCTTCTTCAAGGATCTCGGTACCAGCATGGTTTTCCTGGCCATTCGCGGTTGTGTTCCAGACTTTCTTCCAGTTCCATGTCAGCTCCTTTCTGCTCCTCCTTGGGCTTCTACCAACGTTCCTGTATCTACTGCTTGGCCTCTTCCTCGGGCCTGGGCCTGTCGTCGAGAAGTCCAGCGACAAGTCCATTCTCAGCTCGTTCCTCTACCCCACCTTTGCCTTAAGGGCCTATCTCATCGTCGTCACAGTCATTGAGGGGAGCATACCGAGCAGGCTTCCAGCCTCGATGTTGGTCATCGTACTACTTCTGGTTGTTCTGGTTGTCCAAGCTGAGCTTTGATCACATTCGAACGGTGCTGGTGTTGTCGATCAACTCCGAAGCATCCAGACACCACGAGAGTCTGTCGATCAACTTGAAAGCATCCAGACACCACCGCCAACTGACAAGTCTGAAACTCAGATCGCGGATATGAATTCCACCCGTAGTGCTCTGCAAGTCGTCGACATTCTCCTTCTCAAGCTTCCAGCGCTTGCATCTACAGATGGTTCCAAGTTCCGGTGAGAGGGAAGGACTACAGGCTGGTCCACGCCTTGCTGAGCATCGACACGTGGCTCATGGTGATCGCAACTTCCTGCGGCCTGGGAACCGTGTCTACCTTCTACAGCAACTTGGGCCAGCTGAGCGACTCCACCGCGAGGATGAACATCTTCGTGGCTCTCCTCAACATCTGGGACTTCCTGGGAGCAGTCGGCTGCGGCTTCGTGTCCGAGATATTCCTCACAAGTTTGGCATTGGACGGCCGTTCGTCTTCGCTGCTGTGGTTGGCTTTCTAGTGCTCGGCAACTTGCTCATCGCCTTGGGCCTTCCCGGTGCGCTGTACATCGGCTCCATCATCATCGGCCTCGCCACCGGAGGACAGTGGGCGGTTGCTATCGACCATCATCGCGGAGATCTTCGGGCTCAAACACTATGGAGTTCTCCAGAGCTTCCCAAACATCGCAAAGGGGATTGGGACGTTCGTCCTGTCGGTGGAAGTTGCGGGTGTGTTCTACGATCGACAAGCCAGGAGATATCGGGGCCCTGACACGCTGGAGACCGGGCTCTTGTGCCACGGTGCCAAGTGCTACAGCGAAACCTTCTTCGTCATGGCCGCCACCTGTTTGTTTGGGTGCGCCATCGCCGGAGGTGAGGCCCAGGTTGATGAGAAAAGTTGCTGCTACTGACGATGATAGCAGAGCTCTCATCTTCCTTTTTTTTTTGGTTCCAAGCTATACAAGAACCAAAGACTTGAAATTAGCACCCAGAACCAAAGAAAAACAAGAATAGAATAGGATGAATGCGTTTTAAAAATAGAGAACTCGCAAGAACTTCCGGAGGGCGACCAAATGCTTTATTTCTTTCGCATTCCACTGGAGGGCCGTGCATTTCAATCGGAGGGAAGAATGCTATCATCCAGCGCCTCGGTCGATCTATAATGCAGGATGATCGCCACATGCCCTTTTAGGGCTTTTTTGTCCTTTTGATTTAGTATTTAATTGCATTCCTAATCTAATCTAATCTAATATCGTGTGCTGTTTTCCATGAACTCCGGCCGGAAGAACCACGTCGTCATGATCGTGGGTGTGGGAAGAGCCTGTGCGGACACCGTCCGGGCTGGAGCATTCGATCCGCTAAAGCAGAACGCCACGAAGGTGAAGATCCCCTCGGAGATAGACCCGGTGGTGATTGCCCAAGAGGGCGTCAGGAAGTTCGCCGATGCGAAGCACGATTTGATCATTCTTGACACAAGTGGAAGACACAAACAAGAGAATGAGGAGCTTGCCGCTGCTAGAGTCTTTTTCTTGAGGATACTTAGCATTTGCTCTCGAACTTTACAGAACCCCGATTTGATCATTTTCGTCATGGATAGCAGCATATGGCAAGCTGCGAATGATCAAACACTGGCCTTTATAGAGAGCGCTAAGGTCGGTGCTGTTATAATCACCAAGATGGATGGCCATGCAAAAGGTGGCGGAGCTCTTAGTGCGTAACTATTCCTTTAAACCTTGACAATTGCCAAGGTTTTGGTTTTCCAGTAGAGAAAAAGCTTTTGTCGGTAACTTCTGATTCGACTCCACATGTCTCTCCAGACATGGGAGATATAGCTGGTTTTGCTGAGAAAATCAAAGAGGTTGTTCCAAGTGAATTGCAGCCAGAGTTGGTGTAAACTTGGTGGATGGAAACATCAGTTTTAAATTCTTGTGCGATCAAATCGAGAACATTACTAGCATGGGATCTCTAAGGATCTTACTATCTCGAGAACCACTATTTTTTCTGATTGTGTGCGCAGCTCATGTCCATGATTCCAGGATTCAACAACGTAAATGTGCATAGTTTTGACACTCAACAGTTAAGAAAACTCTACGAGAAACGAAGCTGACTCTCAAACTCTGGCTTTGATTTGAATGCAAAACTAAGGTATTGAATTGCAGAATGAGTTTGTTGGGATCTCGTATACTCTGAATCGCTAAGGGCTCGGGGACTAGCGTTGATAATGTAAAAACAATGTCCAAACAGATGAAAGGCCTGAAGCTCAACAAGAAAGGGGCAGAAAGAGTAAGATGCTGCTGGCAAACATGGTGAAGCAATTTAGTGGAATGGGAGGGCTCCAAACTTTGATGAAGCAATTGCCAAGATAGAAATGATAAAGGATGTCCAAACAATCTTTTGAGGGACGGAATAATGCATGTAGATAGGGACTCTCTCTCTGTTCTGTATATTCTTTGCAACATGGACTTAGCACGAGATAACAATTTGATCAACTTATAATGGCTATGGATACGATGTTTTCAGTGTAACTGTACGATTGAAAACTAGTTTCTCCGCCGAGGAGTCGGGATCAACGCAAAAATATCCTGCATAATCCGAATTGTCACGATTTGACGATTTGAGCCAAAGGAAGTTAAGTACCTGTTCGCTCGAACTGGAACCTATCCCCCGGCTTCGCCGTCCGCAGATTATCCAAAGCGAATGCCCCGTGTATGACTTGCTTTGAATGGGGATTGAGGTCCTCTAGCCAAGTGTCTTTGAGTTCCGCAGGATCCTACACAGCCATGATCAAACTAGAGAGTTATCACCGCTTTAACACGTTCTCATACCTCTGACAGGAACAATCTGTCGAAGAGTCTCACTTCAACTTCGAGAGGGCGCGCTCCTTCAGCAGGTTCGGGAACCCAGTGGAGAACGCCCTGCCAAGGAACATATAAAACGATTAGTAAGCACAAGATTTAGTGCACAGAGTAGACCTTGGGCTTGATGCTTTTCTTGGCGTCGTACGTGGCTCTTATTTCAATGACTTCGCCATCCTTATCGCACACATAGTCGACACACGTGATGGGGTACGCATATCTGCACTCGAATGCTCTAAGGTGATTGTTCCAACTTCAAGAAAGCGTACCTCAACAAGGCTGATTTTCCTTTGGCTAGCCCGTAGAAATCCTTGGAATCCTTCGTCCGAAAGTCGGAGCGCTCAATATATACAACTCTTGTAAATGGCATCTACAACATGCAAAGGAAAAAAATAAAAAACCATCAAGGAATCAATCCACAGAAAACCTTGTACGTAGCCGACGGGTCATCGGGCAGCCTCTTGCCTTCCACTTCTTCAGTAGCTTCCAGATTCTCAATAACAACCTAAGGAGGAAATAAAGTGACTCTAACCTCACGAAGTTTTTACTCGTACCTTCAGTGGATGGAGAACCACCATAGTTCTTGGAGCAGTTTTGTTCAATTCATCCCGAACAAAATGTTCCAACTTATCCATTCTTATAAGATTGTCACTGGAAATACGAAGCGTTAAAACCTTCGAGAAGTTTACATCAATCTACCTCCTCGTGATGCCTATAGACCGACAGAAAGCATTGATAGCAGTAGCCGGCATTCCTCGTCGACGTAAACCAGCCAATGTCAAAAGCCGAGGATCGTCCCATCCATCCACATATTTTTCTGTTACTAATCGGTTTAGCTGCAAGGATGAGGAGGTCAAAGCGCGCACAGTAGGGAAAAAAAATTACCTTCCGCTTAGACAGCACATTATTCGTCATGTTCAGCCGTGAATATTCCCATACATACGGTAGATATAGATTCAATCTGTCTAGCAGCCAGTAATACGATACCCTGCGGGACTCAAACTCCAAAGTACACAGCTACAAACAAAAGAACCAATTCAGAACAAACAAAACAAAAAAAACATTCTCTACGTACCGAATGGGATATATTTTCCAATGAATCGACGATGCAGTGTGTAAAGTCGTAGCTTGGATAAATGCACCATTTGTCTTTTGTGCGAGGGTGTGATGCTTTCTGTAAGTGACTATTTCAGAAATAAAACATAAACAGCATGCCTGTACCTTTACTCGATAAGCAATAAGGTCCAGCATATTGTAGTTCTCGTTTTTCATATCTTGCTTCATTCGCAGTGTAGCTTGCCCTTCCTCAATCAACCCAGCCTTCATCTTTTCGAAAAGATCCAGAGATTCTTCTACAGGCCGGTTCCTCCATGGGCTTTCCTTGAAGTTTTCACGGTATTCTTTTATCTCATCTGCCGTCTATAGAAACAATCAGTTAAATAAAGCGCGCCATATTTCTTACCTGATGATCAACATAGGCGTGACCAGATTTTATCAGCTCTACAGCAAGCTCGTAAAGCTCCTGAAAGTAATCACTACTGTAGGTAATCTGCAAGAACCGACGTTAAAAACTCCTATCAGGAATTAAATGTTTAAAGACCTTGAACGGTTTCCAACCCATCCACTCTACAATCTCTTTTATGTGTTCAATATATTCTTCTTTTTCGGCATCTGGATTCGTATCGTCAAACCTGCCGTAGAAAAGACATAAGAACCTGCTAGTGGAATTCAATGATTACCTCAGGTAGCAGTAGCCATTTGCATCGCATGCAAATCCAAAATCGACAAACATGGCCTGCCAAACAGAATCAAGACACTAATGACACAAAAGACACTTACCTTAGCATGTCCAATGTGTAAGTAACCATTTGGTTCAGGAGGAAAACGGGTATAGACTCTTCCACCGGTTGCCTTCAGATGCTTTTCAAGCATAGCTCTCGTATTCGCTGGGTTCAGTACTGTTCCGTCGCTGAATCTTATTTCCACGTGAACTCCGATATTGTCTTCCGGTTTTGGGAATATTGAATAGGGGCTTACTTCCTCGACAGGGAGAATTTCTTCCTTCTTGACTTCCTACATTGGTACCAAGATTAAGCGCGTTAAAAACTGACAATAAGCACCTCAGGCTTTGGCTTTTTCTTCTTGGTTTTCACGTCGTCCTCTGCAGTTCTCTCACCCAGGAGTTCATGCATTTTCTTGTCTATCACTTTCTACAAGCAAACACAAACACGTTTTAAAAACATATATCAGGCTACCCGAGCAATACCTTGACATATGTGAAGTCCGCAAACGGCTGTAACTCCCTGACTTGTGCCAGTAGAATCCCAACTGTAAAGTCTCCAGATTAGAATAAGATCACTGAATGTACTAAAGGGCAAACCATTAAATTTGTAGCGCTCATCGAGTAGTTTCGCTTTGTTCTTTTCCAGCACTTTCTCGACAGCAAGCTCCGCGTCCTCTGGAGAGACAACCACACCTTTCACCCAGAAAGAAGTCAGTGACCGAAAGCTAACGGAACTAGAACTCACCGACACCACAGACTCTCTCAAAATCTTCCACCAGGAATTCTTCTGGATCGGAAGAAAAATAGCGAAAGGCTGCATCCAACTGATGGCTCTTAATCTGCCACATCCCATAACGTCTTAGCTCACAGAGAATCAAATCCAAAAACATCTCAAGACCTTTCCAGAAGTAACGTAGCTCAAAAACTTTGGCCGATGACGAAGAGCGTTCGCACGGTTTGCCGGGTACTTGGTTGCAATCTGCCACAAACCATTCAGAAGCGAGGAGGAAAAATTCGATAGCTTACCGTGTACAGCACGTTTCCAACCGATTTGTTACAGCCATTTTGCACACCAGCCTGAATTTCGACAATGAGAATCTCTGGAAGAAACACGAAATCGCATGCAATTACCTCCTTGATCACAGCCAGGACACTGCTTCTGACCTTCGGATTCACCATAATGTTCTGCGCAGTGGTCTCCTCGATACCGATTCGGCAGAAGAGCTCCACAGATGCCTCCATTGCCTCGCTCATAGCGCTGCTCGCGCAGCCACGCCCTACACGACTAGACCTCTGTAAAACCCTAGCATATAGCATATTCTTATCGTGAGCCCTAAACAGGCCGGCCTTATAGATTTCCCGCGAGAATTCAAATTTCAAATTTTCAAATTCAAATTCCAGTATGGAATACCTCAAGAGGGCATTTGCTATCATTTGCTATTGCTTCCTCTCCCATTTCCCTTCGCGTCTTCCATCGCTCCTCTCTTTGCTCGCGCGCTCCATTATCATGCGAGGCCGCGAGGAGTTCCTCGCTTGCCTCTCGTCGACCATCTCCCCGTACTCGCTGATGCCACCGCCGTTTCCCAGGAGCTCCTCGTAGGCCCTGTCCTGGTGCTGGAAGCTTGGAGCGTTTGGATTTGGATAGCCGCGGCTGTTCGTCATGAGCACTGGAGTCGATGCTGTTGTCGTTGCCACTGCTGCTAGATGGACGTTGGTCGGGCTCACCGACGCTGCCGCGGCTCCTGGGGGTGGCGTTGGAGGTGGAGTCACTGCGTTCTCGCGATCCGGCCTCGAGCTGCTGTTACTTTCTCGCGCGCCCTCGCGGTAGCGATCGCGATCTCTTGGTCTACTAGAAGATGCGTGTTAACATTTGGGATAGAAGATACATGGATTGGGAAGAAGCGGAGAAGAAGTTTTAAGTCACCTGCTGCCAGAGGTGGTCGAGGCACTGTAGTCTCTCCGCGAGCTCCGCGCGCTTCCTTGCTCAAGTTCTCTTTGGTAGTCTCTCTGTGTTCTCGAGTGTAAGTAAGAAACGAAACTGGCAAGAGTTTACCTGTGAGCGTTTCTCCATTTCCAGTTCTACTACATGCCTCAGCTCTCTCGTCTTTTCGCGTTCTTTCTCCAAAGCCTTTTGCCTTTCAATCTCCCGTTCAGCTTCTGCTGCTCGCTCCCTGTAATCAAAAGATGTATAAATGACTCATGGAAATCTCTTAGAGGCCCACCTATCAAGTTCTTGCAGGATTACAATCTCCCGGTGTGCCGCTTCATCCAACGCAATCTGACGATCCCGCTCTGCCATTCGCTGACGCTCTCTTCTGATCGCAACTTGTTGTCGTGATTCTTCACGTTGCCTACAAGCACTCTGAAGTTTTACGACAATGAACTTTCTACTGCTTACTCTTGAAGAATTTTTTCTTTAAGTTGTTCGAGGTCATTTGCGGAACTTTGTGGCTGACGCTTTCCTTCCAGCATCTCCAGCTCCAGTTTTACTTCCTCCAGCTCCTATAAAATCCCGCATGATCTTTGTTAGAGAGACCAAAATTTCATTACCTTGGCTGCTTCTGCTGCGGCTGCATCACGCGCGTCTGGGCTATCACGCAGAACTGAAAGGCGAGCAAAGACCTGAAGAAGTGTTCATTTGGTGAGAGAAAAGCAAAGAACTAAGTATCTTACCTCTAGTACTGAGTCCCTGACAGCCAAATATCCTGGATCATTTGGACGTTTGATGTCTTCACCCAGTAGTGCTTGCTCTAGATTCTGGAAGTAAAAAACTGTGAGAGCTCTCAATTTTTCATAAAAAGATTCTACCTCTTTCACGACATTCCCTTGGGTCCTAAACTCCAGTAAGACCTGGCAGAGACGTCGTCCAGCTTCCATACACGTCGTTCCTGTACCATTCAGAAAACTTGTGTCAAAATCTTGAAGAACAAACTTGGTTGCTTACCTGGTTTCGTTTTTGTTTGTTCTTCCATAACTCTCCAAACCTTAGCAGGAATAGACGTGACATCCTCTGGTGAGGCATAGATGCATGCCCGTGCTAGTAGAGATAGCGCGAGGTTCGTGTATGGGCCCGATCTCATAAAATGCAAGGACGTCGTGCCAGGAACCAACGAGTCGATTGTGCTGAGAAACGTCTTTAGCTGATGTGGTTCTGCCATAGGAATGAACTTCAGCAGCAACTCCATTGCTTGCTGTCTAAGTCCCAAAAGAGAGTCCGACGCAGCCGAGAATGTGACTTTGTCCCAGGTAACAGAAACAAGCTTGCGCACAAACTTATCATACGAGTATCTCTGGCTTGCGACTTGAACGTCCAAGTTTGAGACGTTCTCATTCCTCCTTAAAAGCTCCCTCAGCTGCTGCAATGCCCCTGACCGCAGCTCTGGCTCGGGATGCTCGAGCATCGCTGCCAGAAGAGGAGCAAGCGAACTGGATGCTGCTGGCTTCCAGATCTCCAAGCCTACATGCTGAAGAGCCCGTGGCATCCACTTGACAGTCCATAACCTCCAGCTCAGTCTGGGAGCACGCGACCACTGATACTGCAGGATGGAGCAAACTTCAGCAAGCACCATGTGTACGTGCAGTGACGATGGTAGCGCCAGGAAGTAGTCCATTGTTGCCGCAGCGACTTGCCAGCAGTGACCCTTTTGCAGCATAGCCACCGAGTCCGTCAAGGATATCAGAGCATAGTGCCAAAAATCTTGCTGACCATCGTGTTGGTGCCGCCGGCGGAGATAACTTGCCAGTAGTAAACATCTCGCTCTCGTACTTGCGGCCGTCGCAGCAAGTTTAGGATGGAGCTTCCATGCGGCCTCAAGTTCGGGACCGAGTGCCTGCAGGAACTTCTCCACGTTGTCATCCAGTAAGTCTGGGCTGCAGCTTGATGGCGGCTCGGCATATCTGCCTTCAAGGCTGTCACCTTCACTCAGCACGCCGTCGTCATCAGTCACGGCATTCCCAACTTCGACAAAGTCTGTTTCTTGCTCCGCACCAGATGAGTCGGGGTGAGCCTGCTTCAGCGGTTGCATGGAATGCATGCCACGATAAACTGAAAGCTCCCCGTCCCCAAGGCTGTTCTCCATAAGCGAGCAAAGTGCTACCAGGATCTTGTCGAAGGCGAGAACGTATTTCCCACAAGCAGCGGGAGGACAGGATTTTGTCGACTCCACCCAGCTCAAAAGAGAAGAATAAAAGCCCGGTCGCATACCCGGAGAGATGTCTGGAAGAAGATAGCCGCATAAGTAGATTACGAGCGGTCCTTCGACAGATTGTTGCTTGTCTTGAGGTCCTCTCTTTAGCGCATCCAGCAAAGCACCGAAGCATATAACGCTGAAAGACTCGCGAAGCTCTTCGCCATAACTTGATCCTCCGGCTGCCGCAGCATACGCAACGAGCGGCTGCAAAGCGCTCATCACGGATTCCAGCATGAACATGTCGCAGTACGAGCTCGAGCACAGCTTGAGGAGCATACGGATGACTCTTGGCATCTCTGGTACGATGGCCTCCATATGCTCTAGCACAATAACCTCTAGCAGCTGGAGAACAATGCGTTTCACGTTGGCTGCCGCAAATCCTTTCACGGAGTAACTGCTACCATCCTTGTGTTGAGGAAACGGATCTGAACAGACCTCCGCAAACCATCCCAGCAGATCGGGTACACTAGCAGGAGCAAGAGACTTGATTTGAGAGCGAACTGATTCCAGTAGTATGTCCGCGTATCTTTGGAAATGTGTTCTCATCTTGGGAAAGAATGAGTCGAACTCTGGATAGAGTACCGAAGCAGCCGACTCTTGAGTGTCGATAGAGTTCACGATATCAAGCTTTGCCATTGCACCCGGTGCTTTAATCTGCGCATCAAACTCCTCAGAAGTTTCATTACTTGATGATCGGTTGGCGGGACCAAAGGCCGTGAGCTCGTCGGAGAAAATGAGAAGGGCGCCAGTAAGCTGTTCAAGTGACGAAGCCAGAAGAAGACCGGCTTCTTGATATGTCTGAGCGTAGATCGATAACGACATCCAGCCGATGTAGCGAACAAGAGGAAAAGTTGACAAGGCAAACCTCGGTATTTCTTGAAGCCACGAAGAGGCTGGAACCAGCTCCTTGTGTGCTGATCCCCCGTCGAAAATATCGCTCCCTCTGAAAGGCCTTCCAGCAGCGACATAGACCATCCGGCTGAGCAAAGCCCACTGGCGTCGTATCGCAAAAGCATTAGCTATGCGTCGCTGTGAGTATCCATCTTTTGCGCGGGTGTGCTCCAAAACCACTGACTTGTTAAGCCGCTCCGCACTTTTGAGAATAACCCCAACTAGATCCCCAGGCGGCACCAGCGGCCCAGTGCTCGTCTCCAAAACGAACAGGAGGCCCTGTAGTAAAACGTCGTACAAGTTGTGCATGTCCCTCTGGAGCTGCCGAACGAAGAACATGCATAGCTGACTTTGGTGCTGGCGGACAATAGTGGCGGCATCTTGGAGTCTCTCGTCTTCGGCATCCACCGATAGACTGTTGGAAAACTCGGCACTGCCAACGTCTCCCACGCTTTGTGCCAGGTCGCAGTCCCATTTTGACGCTTGCAAGAGAATCCTCAGAACAGCCTTGTCTCTTTCTTCCTCCAATTCGATAATGGATTCTGCCGCTGCCAAGTCCTTCCCTGAACCAACCTTGGAGAGTATCTGCCGATCGTCGCTGCGTGAATCCATGAAAACGGGATTCAGATGGCACTCCGCAGCTAGAAGTAAGGAATCGATCGCAGCCTGGTGACTTTCGGGACTTTGTTCTGTTTGAGAGTGCAGCTCGACCGCAAAACGGATAAACTCGGACGCTTGTAACTCACGTTCCGCCTGGCTTATCAATTGCAGATAGTCCTTCTGCAAATCAAAATACTGATCTACGGCCCTTTGATCCAGTGGAGATTTTTCATCGGCTACAATCGTTGCTGTTCCATCCGAATCCACTGCTTTCCGGTCAGCAGCCAACATCATCCCCTTAAGTTCTGGAGAAATGAAGAATAAGTTTGACTCATCAGCAGCAGCGATACTATCGTTTCCCTCGCCAACAACTCCAAACTTATAATCAGCGACGGTATTATCATCCTGACTCGGTAAACCAGTAGGAATTGCCAAGTGTGGAGCAAGAATAGAAAGCAATACACTGCCGTTGAAAGAAGCTACATCAGAAAGAAACAACGAAGAAAAAAGTACCTTGGTGCTATACGTCCTTGTCGCCATTCCACTTCTAAAGCAGGCAGAACTGAGAACCTTTTGACCGCGGCGCAGATAAAATCAAGTGCCAAGGCGCAATTTTGGTCTCGCTTTTCATATAGCATTGTAGACATATCGCCAAATGTAATTGTACTTTCGGTAAATGTCAATGCTGGCATCAGATAAGGTTCTAAAATCTCGATAAGAAACAAAATGTTGGTTTTCACGTCCTAGAGATAAGAAAATAGCGTCACAAGAGTGAATGAGACAAGTGCTTCACCTTGTACTGCTCTAGTAGTTCGTCCACATAACCAGAAAGTCCCAGCATTACGTAGAGCAAAGCTGCACGCGCTTTGTTCACACTTTTATGGCCAGCCTGCAGCAAATAATTTCAGACGAAATAGAGCTGATGAGATTATTATACCTGAATGACGCCGGCTACATCTTCAAGGAGCTCGATAGCCAAATCCACCTGCACTAATGAAAATCGTTGAATCCCAGGTACAAAACCAGAAATACAAAAACGAAAGAAAAACTTACAAGAAGCATCTGACCTTGCAAATAACCATGGATAACCACGCTGAAAGAGGGCCGGTACATAAGTCGATCAGCAAACAGGCCGCTTTCTCCTTTAGAGAAAATCACAAGTTCTGATAAGTACGATTAAAGCGAAAAAAAAGTTTATCATACATGCGCCGCAGAAAATGATGCAAGGTATCCGGAACAAGCGTCCAGAAGTGGGCGATACGCCAACGAGATCGACAAAGATACCACCTGAAAGAATCCGCTTGCATGAGAAACATAAAAAGAAAGATATTTCTTACGTGTGACACAACGCCATGAACTTGAGGAACTTGCCACGGCCAAAATGTTTCATCAATTATTTCAGCGCCTGTTAGCAAGGTGGAAGAAGGACGGATTGCTGAAAGAGAAGATGATAATGAAATATTAAAACTACAAGTAACTAGGAACAAAATTAGGACCAGCACCTCCAACAGTAGCCTGAACGAACGGCAATACTGGCACCAAGTCGGCTTCCGAATCGGCTAGCCTTCTACAAAGTACAGGCTACAACATACACCAATCATAATTATTCAAAATCCGAGAAAAAAAGAGAGTTACCTGGGAAGCTAAGCAGTAAAGAACGTGCAAAAGACCCTCTTCAATCAACGAGATTTCTAATATTCCAGCATTCGTTATGTCAGTTGTTTCTTCAACAATTCTGTACTCTTCTCCAAAAATCTCCGAATAATCAGAACCAGCAGCAGCTGAAGCATCAGAAACGGGCGCTTCAAGCGAGTCAGCGTCGTGAGTAATTGTACCCGCTAGCTTCGTATATATTACAGCAACCTGGAAAGGAAATTATCTTTTGTTAGAGGAACAAACGGAGAGAACTCAAACCTTTTTACAAATCCTTGAAAGAGCACTGTTTTTATTGGCCACCTTCAAGAGCAACAGAATGACATCAAATCTATAGGCCAAAAGTAGACCCACGGGTTTCTGGGAAACTCCAGAGCCCTTTCCTCGTTTTGGAGGTGCCTGAGACAAGAGAGAAACATATAAACTACGAGAATGTAAAGCTTACGGCATGCAACCTGAAAATTCGAAGAGACCGAAAATACGGAAGTTTGAGTTCGAGCTGTTTCATCTATACCAGTCTTCTCGGCTTCCCTGTATGACTACAGTGCGTGAAAACGCAGTATTAGCCTTATTAAAGAATCTAACCTTCCACCAGCTGACGCTAGAATTGGATAGAATGGACCTACAAGCATCGCCAGGAGCTTAACAGTTGATTCCATAGCTTCACTGCTAACCGCCAAGTCGCTCTACAGAATGAGCATCAGAGAAACAGCTGAAATGGAACTATTCTCACCTCGAGCTGAATCAAGAACGGCGATAGCCGGCTCGCAATGTCTTGGAGAAGCTGCAGCTCCATGTTAACTTCTACACAGAAAAAATGATAACTCACTCATACCTTAAGGTAGACGGCATGTAGCTCGTGCTTGTGGGAAATAATCCGTGGGAGCAAGTAGTCAACAACAGGCTGGAGTTCTGGTTCTAGACCAGGAACTTGAATGCCCATCAACTGCAAAGAAAGAGAAAAACATCACTATGTCAGTTGAAGTATAGAAAACGAAAACAAAGACTAGTTCCGACCTGGACGTAGAAAATGGCGATCGGGTTTCCACGAAGACAAGAAATCCGAATGAATCGGCATGGTGTGTAGCCCGCATAGTACGTCATGTCTCGCCTGGGAGCTTCACAGCGTGGCCTTACTTTCACAAAACTTTCCGGCTGAGAAATCACACAAACCGAGCTTAAAAATACAGAGAAAGAGATAACAATGCCACACCTTAAACTTGAGCCCGGCGGCAATCTCCCATTCCAGCACCGATTTGTTGTGCGCGCGAATGTGAGACAATAGACACGCCTCCTGCGCAAAATCTTCACTATAGAAGCTCAAAGGACTCACTACTCGCGACACTGACCTCCAGCTCGAGAATGATCCACTCCTTAGCATTCGTCCCAGTCGACCAATGCGTCCGGAGATCTGGATCGAGGACATACGCCGCCTTCTGCGACGCCGATTCGCGCGACGATGCGCGCACCTTGAACGGCAGCGCCTTGAGGCGAGGATCCAGCTCTGGCTGCTGCTCCATAATCAAAACCCTACAAAATTTCCAAGTTCTATACTATAGCTTTCAAACCATGGAAGCTCTTTAAAGGTACATATCTATCATCGATTAAACTGGAGAGGACGCTTCTTTGGCCATGAATTTTCTCCTCCTCTCGGCTCTTATCAAAGCTTTGGTTCTTCCTCTCGTCTTGGAGAGCCCAGTTTTGGTCACCTTGGACGCAAACTTCTTGCGGCATTCCTTCTCCCAGATCCTTCTCGCCTTGGCCTTGGCCATGGCCAGAGCTCGCGTGCCAACCTTCTCCAAGTTCACTCCCTTGGCCGCGGCTCGATCGAAAGCTTCTTTGTAACGGGACTTTAGCGCTCGCATCCTGGCCCCCAGCACTCGTTCTCTTTCGAGAGACACGCCTTCTAAGGTCTCGTTTCGCCGCATTGCGTCCTCGAGCCGATTTGCTAGAGCCAGCTCGCGCTTGGTAACAAGGCTGGTCACTCGTCCTGGAAAAAAAAGAAAGGAAAGTTACTCGTAAGTTTCTACGATCAAGAAAAAAAAAAAAAAAAAAAAAAAACAGACCTTTTAAGCCCATGCGAGCAGTCCGTCCACTCCGATGCAAGTAATCAATCTGGAACAAGTTTAGTTCATGAGCTAAAGTTTCATTCAACGAAATAGATAACTTTACCGAAGTCGAAGGGAAATCAAAGTTGATAACATGGTCGACTTGAAGATCAAGGCCCCGAGCAGCCAAATCAGTACAGATTAGCGCAGGAACTGGACCCTCTCCATCTTCAATCTTAAACTTTGCAAGGTTCTTTATCCTGCGATAGTAAAGAATAAGCAGTTAAAAACAATCACGAACTTAGAAACATGCGTACCGATCTTCTGCAGGGACCTCGCCATGATAATTTACACAATGGACATCCATTTCATTCAGGTAGTGATCAACAGCCCGGCAGGAATCAACTGATCTGCAAAAGACCATACAACGACTTCCTTTGGCAAGCGCGGGCTCAAGAACCTGGAAAGTCACATAAGTGTCACGTAAGTCGTGCAAATGAAGCATTCAAGAAGTTAAAAGCATACTTGAACCAAAGCCTCGAGCTTGTTAATGTTGCCAGGAACTTTTTGGAAGAAATGCCGGGACGTATCGACCTTTTTGTGTAGGGTGGACGTGAAAATGTGCCGAATGCCTGGGAACTCAGTATCAAGGAGCTTTTGCACGGACTACACAGGTCAAAAGTTAGACCAAAAGGACGCGAGAGAGAGTTTGCAGTTCACCTTTGTAATCGTCGCGGTCACAAGAATGGTCTGAAAATCCGAGCCATTTCGCAAGGCACGGTTGCGAAGAGGATCGATTATCTTTTTCAGCTCAGGCCCAAATCCACGATCAAACATGGTGTCGGCCTCGTCGATTACCTACAGAAGAGGGGAAAAAATCCGAGTTTACGCAAAAGAAGAAAACCAAAAGAACTTAGCTGCCTCACCACATACTTGATATCTCCAAACGCCAGGTTCCCTTCTTCGACATGCATCAGCAGCCTCCCCGGAGTCCCGACTACCATGTCGAGAGCTCCATTGAGCGCGTCAGCCTGGGGCCTGGGACGAAATCCCCCACTGATCATGGCAGAACGAAAGCGAGCATGGTGACTTAACGACTTGGCGACTTGTAAAACCTGGACAAAGTTTACAAACCAAAAAGAGTGTTTTTGCAAGCTTCTGGAATAAAAGAAAATTAGTACCTGTTCTGTCAACTCTCTGGTCGGACAAAGAACAAGAGCTCGGGGCTTTCTAGCTCGCACGGTTCTTCCACTCTCGATTTCATCCTTTCGTAAGCTCTGCGCAACAAGAAAGAAGAGAAGTGAGAAAATGATAAGCACACCAAGGAATGAAATAAACCTGGACAAGCGGTAGCATGTAAGCGAGCGTTTTTCCGGAGCCAGTGTGAGACGCCACCACCACATTCTCACCGTCTAGAATCGCTGGAATCGCCATTCTCTGGACCTCGGTCGGCTCCTTCAAATCCAGCTCCTCGATGGCGCCGCGCAGCTCCTCCGCCAGCCCGAGCTCGTCGAACGACTGCGTAGAAACCTCCGCCAGAGAATCCTCGTAATCCAGCTTCTCGCCTTTGCCCCTCCTCCATCTCCTACCTTCCTCTTCTTCCCGGGCAATGCCGCTCCATCCCTCCTTGGACCGCCTCGATCGAAGCCTGTCGAGGAGATTATCCTCATCCGCTAGCGCTGCCGACGAATTCCCGCCCCTCTGCGCCGCCCGGAGCGGCCCGCTCGCGACGCTCAGCCTCCGGCACAGTGGCGGCTTGCGCGCGAGAGGCGATCTAAGCGCAGCCACGGAGGGATAGAGCTGCCGGCAAAGGAATGCCATTCTCATTCCTTCCCGGGCATCTATCTATCGCTTAAACCCTAAAACCTTGGCGAAATGTCATCATTTCTTTATTACTAGTGAAGATCCATAGCTCTTCAGTTCGCGAGCTCCAACGAGTAGAGTTTTACTGACTGACCATAGTGAAGATCCATAGTTCTAAAGTTCGCGAGCTACGAGTAGAGTTTTACTGACCATAGTGGAGATCCATAGCTCTAAAGCTCGCGATCTTTGGTCTTCTCGGCTCGCTATACGCCATCGTCCTCCTGATCTTCCGGTCACGCGTCTCCTCGTAAATCTTCACTTCCTCCTCCCGGAAGAGCTCGGCTCTAAACTTCTCGATCCTCTCCACGATCACGTCTGGAACGCCCTCGCGCTGCTCGATCATGTCGAGATAGTCGAGCTTCCTGGCCAGGCAGCACGAAGTCACCAGCGTGTTGTGCATTCCCAGCGTCACTTCGACGCCGACGCTCGGCAGCCAGCAGTAGAACTCGTAGGCTCCCTGGAAGTCTCCCTGCGCACACAAGGCTCCCAGGAGCTGCCGGAGTCCCTGGTTCTCTGGCCGCTTCCCATCTCTCACGAGTTCTTCCACCAGCTTTCGAGCTTGATCCGCCTTTCCTTGCCAGCAGAGTCCCACCACCAGCTTGTCATACGTGAACTTGTCTGGAACGATGCCGGTGTCGGTCATCTGCTTGAGGAAATCCTTGGCTTCGTCCACGCTGCCTCGCCGGAGGATCCCGTCCAGGAGAATGTTGCTCGATCCCACAAGCTGCTGGCAGTTTATCCTCGACATCTCTTTGTAGAGCTCGAACGCGTCGTCCAGTCTTCCGGCTCTGGCCAGCCGCGAGAGTAGCACCTCCCAGATCTTCAAGCTCGGGACGAATCCTTTGTCACGCATCGCGCTCAGGAGCTTGAAGGCCTCTTCCACCTGATCCGTCTTGCACAGGCTGGAGATGAGGATCTCGTACGTGAACATGTTGGGAGCTGGAACTTTGTCATTCTTTCCGGACTGCATCCTTTTGAACAGCATCCACGCGGAGCTCCAGGCCTCATCTTTGATGAACCCGACGATCATGAAGTTGTAAGTCCAGGTGTTGAGAACGATACCATCTTTGATCATGTCTTGGAACAGGCAGTAGGCTTCATTTGTATCTCCGTTGGCGCAAAAGCCTCGGATCATGAGATTGTAAGAGCACGTATCGGGTAGCCTCTTTGTCTTCATGTCCGAGAAGAGTTTTTTCGCTTCCTCAAACCTGTGCTCCTTGATCATCCGGTCGAGAATGACGTTGCAAGAGCCTGTGCTCGGGACGAGGCCTTTGGCAACTGTGGCGTCGAAGAGCTCGCTGGGGCCTTCGCCACTCTTACGACTGTAAGGAAAGACCACCAAGTCCAAACTCTCTCCATCTTCCGCCACCATAACTCCTTCGTTTGTCACTGCTTCGTAGAGCTTAAGTGCCTCGTCCATCCGCTTCTTCCACACCAAAGCATAGAGCAGCTTGGTGAGTGTAGCAATCCTCGGAGCTACACCTTGATCCAGCATGAAGTACGTGAGCTCCATTGCATCTTGCAATTTAGCAGTGCTGAGCAGTCCTTCGAGCAAAGTGTTGTAAGTCACCACTGTCGGACTAATCCCCCTGCCTCTCATCTCCTGAAACATTTCCTTGGCTTCTCCGGGTCGCCTTGCCTTGCAAAGCCCGTTGATAAGTATGCTGTACGCGTAAAAGTCCGGCTTGTAGAGCTCTGTCCCACACATCTGTCTGAACAGCCTGATAGCTTCGTCGATCCCACCTTCGATGCACAGCTTGTTGAGGAAGACGTTGAAAGCAACCGGGTGTACAGCGATCTTCTTGCCCATCATCTCCGTGACGAGCTTCGCCGCTTCCACATTTCCTCCATCCATCTTGGACAAGCCTAGAACAACGAGGCTGTAAGTGTTGTCCGTCATGCAAACGTTCTTCCGGCACATATCGCTGTACACCCGAGAGGCCTCCACCAGCTTCCCTGCTCGCTGGAGCTTGTTAAACAGGACACTGTATGCAGGCTCGGTACAAGCGCAAGGACCTTCGGCCATCTTCTCAAACACCTCGTATGCCTGCTGGAGTCTCGTAAACTTGCAAAGGTGGTCGATCAGCGTCGTGTAAGTGACGAAAGTGGGCGAGACGTCCTCCTGTTTCATCCTCTCCAGCAAGAACACGGCCTCGTCAAGCTTCTTCCACTTGCAAAGCCCCGCGATCATCGTGTTGTACGTGACAACATCCGGTTTGCATCCTCGGCTGTTCATGCTCCTAAACAGCTCCCTCGCCTCGTGAATCTTGCGCGCTCTCCACAGCCCGGACAGCAGCACGTTGAAGTTGACAATGTCCGGCTCGCATCCTTTCGCTGGCATCTCGGCGAAAACATCCATAGCCTTGCTCACGTTTCCCGTCTTGCAAAAGCTCTGGACGATGCTGCTGTACGCGTGAGGAGTCGGAGGATGCCCGAGCTCCTCCATCTCCCTCAGGAACGCCAAGGCCTTCTCGATGTTGCGAGCTTTGCAGTAGCCATCGATGATGATGTTGTAGGAGACCACGTTGGGAGCGCAGTGCTGCGGCATTCTTTTCAAGTAGCTCTCCGCCTCGGCCAGCATCCCGGCCTTGCAGAGGCAGCTGATGAGATTGTTGTAGAGAATCGCGTTTGGAAACAATCCAGCCTCGAGCATTCTATCCAGCTGCGAGCACCCCCTCTGAAAACTCCCACTCTTGAAGAAACCACGTATCAAGAGGCAGTGGGACTGGACGTCAGGAGAAAAACCGGCATACTTCATCTCCTCCACGATCGCTTCCGCCTGGGCGACCAGATCGGCCTCCACGAGCTTGCGGATGATGCAATTGTAAGAATGCAGCGTGCTCACGCACGAATCCTGCCTCACGGACCATCGAAAGAAGCCCACCGCCGTGTCCGGATCGTCGCAGCTCCTCACCACATCCTCAACCAGGGACGAATTCAGCGGCTGCTGCCTGAAAATCTCCTCCAGCCTGCCCTGCCAGTCGGAAGAATCGCGCAGAACAGCGACGATGCCCACCGCATCCACGCATTCCCGCTCCTTCTTGTCCCGGAAGAGCCCTAGAATCTTGAAGACATCCAGCGCCGGTGCCTCCCCCCCCGCAGTGGCACCGGCACCGAGCTGCGAGAGATCCAAGACCTGCGTACCGGAGCAAAGGAATCGCCGGTAATGCCGAGCGGCAATGCTGCGAGCGCCCGTCCTCCATACCCACATGGGTTTATTAGAATATATCGCTAACGGTCCAAGCATATTCTGTTCCCAGCATATTCTGCCAAGCCAGCATGTCAGACTGTATATTCCTCCGGTTGGCGGGGAATATACCACATGTTTTAGTTTTGAGAGAATGGCTCTTCCACTCCGGCGGCGGCTCCCCTTGGCGCAGTCTTAGTTGAATTCCAGCTCCAGGGAATTCCCGGCGATCCTCCCGGATGCCTGGAAGCAGCGCTGCCTAGATTCGTGCCCGGCGCCTGGCGAGCGCGTCCTCGTCCTCGTCCTCGTCGGTCGTCATCGCCCTCGCCAAATCGAAATCCGGGGCAGCAATGCAGCGGGGGAGAGGGATTAGCTAGCGGGAAGCTGTGGCATCGCAGCGCTGGATGGATCGCCCGGTCCCCGGGGGCGGCAAGGGCAGCAGGGAGAGGAAGGGTTGGGAGGTGGGCGAGAGCAGCGGCGCCAGGCACCACGTCCCGGCGCCGCTGCCCTCATTCAACCGATGGAGCGGAGTGGCGGTGCCCCTGCCCGAGCCGCGCACGCCACGGACCAGCCGCAACTCGGAGAAGAGGCGCCTCCAAAAGCTCTTTAGGCTGGAGAAACAGGCAGCTACCTTGAATGTAAGTGTTCTCAGCTTTCCTTGGCTTTGGATGGATGATCTTCTCCCTCAAATCGATCTCTGTGAAGTTCTTTTCATCTTTTCGTCTCTGGAGTTCTCGATCTCTTTGCATTTGAAATCCTCCACTTCTATGAAGATTTAGTCTCTCTCTCTCGCTCCCTCCTGGTTTTTTTTTAATTTTTTTTTCCATCAATGCCTCGTGTGTTCTTGGTTGACTGGCTAGCTTAGCTGCATTCCTTCCTCGTTTGTGGATCTTGGAACTTTCGATTCACTTTTCTCCTCCATGGACGTCAGGAGGAAATTAGCCAAGCCAAGCAGGCACCCAGGGTCTCCATCACTTGCAAAGAGTACGTATTCATCGAGAGATCTCTACGAATTTCGTTGACAATGGAACTGTTTTTTAAACTCAAGAGTCGCGGAGTTCATTGAGAGCCGGGGCCGGGAAGATCCTTTCGTCACAAATCAGTAAGCTTCTCACTTTCTTTGTTTTTCACAACCCCATCTCCATCCGCAGCAATTCCAGGCCGTCCTGGAATCGATGGCTCGGGTCGCCGGCAGGAAGACGAAGATTTTCTGGGTGCTGGTGCTTCTCCTAGGCCTCACCAAAGAAGAGTAGAGAATTCCTTTCCCGTGACACACAAAACAGAAGAAATTTTCTTGCTTGAACCCACATGTTTTTTTTTTTTTTTTGGTAGTTTTCTGGAGCACAAAAGAAATTTTCTTGCTTGAACCCCCACTTCTTTTTTTTTTTTTTTTGTAGTTTTCTGGAGCGTAGGTTGAGTTTGAACATTGAAAGTCAAGGAACGTGCGTGTTGGCTTTTCGTTCCATTTATCGCGGAATTTTTTCCCATTGTTAAACAAAAAAATGGACATATTCTTAGAATATCTCAGCATGTGAAACACATTTTCTACTCATTATATACTGTCAAATGTATGTACAAGCATAGTAATGGCGGCCTGACACTAATCTTTCTGTATATCGAGTGTATTTCACTTTTGAATATATTGTTTATAGATTCTTGCGGGGTCTGGTGGAAATAGTCACAACCTAACAGCCTTAAACATGTTAGACAAGAGAACATAAGGGGCAGCACTTTTCAGATCTAGATCAAGCCCAGATCTTTGTCTACCTGGAAACAGAGATTTCTCGGGATTTTTACTAAGCTGCCTGTTAAAGTTAGCAAAAGAGCTAAGTAAGCAGTTCCAATCCCTTGAGTCTGGCAAAAAGGGCATATGCAAGATGAGGTCTTCTGCGTGAACAAGATACCCTCCCCGTGCAAGTAGATCCACAATGCAACCGTAAAGAACCTTTGAAGGATCCAAGGTACCATAATCAACAATAAAAGATCTGAAAAAATTAATACCCACATGAGCATCACCCCCGTGGCTGCAAGCAACCAAAACCAAAACAAACGAGCTCTCGTCAGGTTTAATTCCTTGAGATATCATCTCCTTGAAAATATCCAGAACAAGTTGATAATGTCCACAGTGGGCATACATTGCTAGCATGGTGTTCCAGGTCACTAGATTTCTAATCACCATCCGGTTGAAAACAACACTTGCCGTCTCCAAATGACCGTTTTGGGCATATGCAGTTAGCATGGAGTTCCAAGTCACCAGATTTTTATCCGGTATACCATAGAATATGCGCTTCGCATCCTCCAGATACCGGTTTTGGGAATATGCATCCAGCAGGGAGATGCAAGAGACAAGATTTTGCTCGTACATGCCATCAAAGAGAATCTTGGCCTCCTCGAGATACCCATTCTGGGCATATGCCGCAAGCATGGCATTCCACGTCACAGAATCTCTGCCGGGCATCGTGTCAAATATTTCTTTGGCCTCCTCCACTTGTCCACTTTGCGCATATCCAGTGAGCATAGTGTTCCACGAGAAAACATCCCACACAGCCATGTTTTGTGACAAAAACCTTTTTGCCCCCTCCAAATCTCCATTTGAGGCATGCGCACTAAGCATTGCATTACACAAAACCAAATTACACTGTTGTATCCTAGAAAACAGTCGCAAAGATTCATCCAGATTCCCAGCCTGGGCATATGCCGATATTATAGCTGTCCACGAGAACAAGTCTCTCTCGGCCAAGGCATCGAACATTCTCTTCACCGAGGCCGTGTCACCAATTTGCGCATACGCCGCGAGCGTTGCATTGTGTGCCACAAGATTCCACTCGGGCATCCGATCAAACAGGAGCTTCGATTCCTCAAAGCAATCCCACTGCATGTAAGCCGAGAGCATCGCAGTCCACGAGACAATGTTACGTTTTGGCATCTGATCAAAGAGCGCTCTGGCCATCTCCAAATTCCCATTCTGCGCGTAAGCCACAAACACGGTGTTCCACAAAACCACGTCCTTCTCTCTCTCGTCAACCTTGCGAAACATCCGATTGAGCTGCTCTAGCTCACCGTGCCTGGAATATGCCGCCATTATCGCAGTCCAGGAGATAAGATTCCACTCCGGGATGCCATTAAACACCTCCTGGGCCCTCTCCAGATGCCCGGCCTGGGCATGCACGGCCAGCAACGTCGTCCACGTCATCAGGTTGACCATGGGCATTGATTTGACCACGCGGTCGCACTCCTCCGTACGCTCCACCCTCGCGTACGCCTGCAGCAGCCCGTTCCACGACGCCAGGTCGTTGTACGGCATGGAGTCAAAGACGTCCCTTGCAGCGTCCACATGCCCGTTCTGGGCATACGTCACCAGCATGGCATTCCACGTCACAATGTCCCTGTACGGCATCCGGTCAAACATGTCCTTTGCGCCGTCAATGTGTCCGTTCTGCGCAAATCCAGTCAACATGGCAGTCCACGCGACCAATCCCCTGTCCGGCATCTGGTCAAACAGACCCTTGGCCTGGGCAACATGCCCGGTCTGGGCATATGCCGTGAGCATGGAAGTCCACGCCACCTGGTCCCGCCACTGCATGGTATTAAAGAGCCGTTCAGCGTCCCTGACGTAGCTGTGCCGGGCATAAGCTGTGAGCATGAAGTTCCAGGAGTAGCGATCTTTCTCCTGGATGCCATCGAAGATCTCTTTCGCGTGGTGGATGCTTCCACACCGGCTGTACATTTGGATGAGGAGATTCGAGAGGTAAGCGGGCAGTGGATCCGAATAGACGAGCCGAGTGGACCGCTCCACATCTCGTGCGTCGGACAGTGCGTTGCAGGACTTGATAAGCTCGACACTCTTGTGGAAGTCACCCATGAGACATATCTTCCTTCTAAGTTCTTCCTCGTAGAACTTCTTTGTAGAAACTAGTTGTCTCGCCAGAAATCATCGTAGTGCTCGATCAGTGGCACGCCTCTTTTCTTCTGGAGCTTGATGTAGTCCGCGAGATCGTTTGACACGCGCTGCGCGAACTCCTCCTGCTCGGCGGCCTGGAGCTTCTTGATGAGGCCCCGGTAGACGAGGTGATGGAGGTGCAAGCCTGGAGTTTTGAGCATCCGGCTGTAGAACCTCTCCAGGTTTTGGAAGTCGAAGAGATCGAAGCACGCGCTCATCACCGGGACGAACATATGCCGGTTGGGATGCATCTCGTTGGCGTCCATTTCGTCCATGGTCGTCCACAGCTCGTCAAATCTTCGTAGATTGGTGAGGATGAGGATGAGTTCGCGGTAGAGGTAGCTGTTTGGCTCGTACCACGACTCCTTCTCGATGATCCGGAAGACCTGGAGACGCAAACCGTGAGGAAGAGCTCCTGGAGGACGAAGTTTTACCTTCAAAGCTATTTCTTCTTCTCGGTGCTTGCGAAGGATGGTGAGGACGCACAGCATGTCTTTCTTGAGCATCCTCGGCGCGTTTGTTTCTAGATACGAGTCCACCTTGTCTGGATCGTTCTTGCGATGCCTGAGAGCCGTCACGGTCTGCATTGCTTCTTGGGTGAACTCCCGGAGACGCAGGAACTCCTTGGGGATCTTCTCGGGTCGAAACACCTTCGACTTGGAAGGCCTTGGATCTGGAGTGTCGGCCCAAAAGAATCCAACGTTCTTCTCCCTCGATCCTAGAAGAGGAGCTGCTCGGTGGAAAAGACGTATCTTTTGGAGCTGTGCTTCGAGAGCTCTCCGGGCGAGCGACCCACATCCTGCATTTGAATATCAGCTTTCACTCCAACAAAAAGAGATGAGAACGCACCTCTCCGAGAAATCATCTTAAGAACCCTAAACCTTTGTCGAGGTCCTTGAAAAGAATCTCGGCTCGCTCGAGCTCCCCGGCGCTGGTGAGCTTGGCGATGAGAAACGCGTAGAAATTCGGGCAAACCTTACACCCGATTGCCTTGATCGCCTCGTAGATCTCCATGCACTTGGCAAAGTTCGCCAGGCTTGCAAACTTCCTCACTGGAAAAACGAGCATCTCCTCCGAAGGCTCGAGCTTCTCGTCGTGTAAGTTCTTGAGCAGCCTCTTCCAGTCTTCGATCCTGTCGTGTTTGATCACGAACTCCATGATCGATTGAAAGAGCTGCGCGCTTGGTTTGTACCACATCTCTTCTCGTATGACATCGAATATCTAGGAAGAAAGAGAGCGTCCAGAAGAAATAGAGAAGAAAGAAAAGATGGAGCTCACCTCGAGAACTCTATCGACTTGGTCCTGGTCTTTGAGTGTGAGAAGAACGATCAAGTAATCGTAGCGCATCATTCTGGCAGAGCGATCCTTGAGCAGCCGCTCCACGTCCTTCTTGCCCCTGGCAGCTCGCTTGATCTCGGTCACCAGCGCCAGAGCTTCCTTGCTGGGAAACATTCTCTTCCCCTCCGGCCTCCAGTCGATCTCTCTAGCGCTCAGAAGCTCCGACGACACGGCATGGCGACTCTTGACGAAGCTCCTCGTCTGGGCCGCAATCCTCGAAAATCCCAGCGTGCCTGTGCCACAACATCCAGATCCAATGACATGATATATGTTCTAGCAGGAAATCTTACGCTTCGCAACGCGCGCTTGCGCCATCGCCTCCAGCTCGATCTCAGTCCCTGCGCGCCATCGCTGCGGCCGATCGAAGACAGAATGGCGGTACCCTAGAACAAGAAGGATGAATGTGGCCGAGCTAATCAAATCTTGCCCCAACCTCTCCCAAGCCAAAGAGATTCACGATTCCATCCCATGCCCGCCTTCCATCCCGATCGCCGAGCTCCTGATCCAAATGTATGGCAGGCTTGGCAATGTCGCCATGGCGGCACAGATCTTCGATTCCATGCCGTCCAAGACCGTCCTCTCCTGGAACTCCATGATCACGGCCTATTCCCAGAACAACGATATTGGCACCGCGAAGAGATTATTCGACGAAATGCCCGATCGAGGCCTAGTTTCCTGGACCGCAATGCTCAGTGGCTTCCTCGACCATGGCCGGATCACCGACGGCGAAGAGCTATTCGATCGCATGCCCTGCCGAGACGTATTCACCTGGAATGTCCTCTTAAATGCATATGCCCGGTTAGGGCATCTTGATCTTGCAAAGCATCTTTTTCTTTCAATGCCAGAGAAAGATGTGATTGCTTGGAACTGTTTGATAGCCCTTTTGGCACGAACACATCGTCTTGAAGAGGCCAGTGAGTTATTCCAAAAGATGCCCCATAGGTCAGCTCAATCCTGGAATATTCTCATTGCAGCATATGCCCAGGCAGGGCATATGCTTGAGGCCCGGCATTTGTTTGACGAGATCCCACAAAGGGATCTCATTGCGTGGACGGCGCTGCTAGCAGCATATTCCCAGAACGGGCATCTTAAAGCGTCAATGGAGATTTTCCACGCGATGCCAATGAGGAATCTCGTGTCCTGGAACGCCTTTCTCTCGGCTTTCTCGCAAGTCGGAGATGTTGAGAGCTCCAAACGAGTGTTCTTTGCAATGCCCGAGTGGAATGTGGTGTCGTGGACGTCGATGTGCCAGGCTTACATCCACTCGGAGAATCTCGATCGAGCGAGGAAGTTCTTCTTTGAGACGATGCCGGTGAAGAACAGAGTCTCGTGGAACCTGATGCTCACTGCCTATGCCGAGAGGGCGGATGTCGTCCAAGCGAAGATGGTGTTCGATTCCATGCCAGAGCACGACCTCGTCTCCCTCTCCGCGATGCTGGCTGCTCTGATTCAGGCTGGAAACCTGGATCAAGCAAAAACATTCTTCAAAACGCTGCCAGCAAGAGGAATCGTCGTGTGCAACTCCATGCTTGCTGCATATATCCAAAGCGGTCATCTGGAAGAAGCGAAGGAGCTCTTCTTCCGTGGAATGCTCGAGAGGAGCTTGGTTTCCTGGACGACACTTCTCTCCGGCTTTGCAGACAAAGCGAATGGAAGTCTTGATCGAGCGAAGGTTTTGTTTGATGAGATGCCCGACCGGGACTTAGTCGCGTTGACTACCATGCTCGCGGCTTACGCATCTCGCAGCCACCTTGAAGAAGCCAAATCCATCTTTGATGCTTTGCCAAAGCATGATGTCGTCGCATGGAACGCCATGCTCGCGGCTTACTCCCGAAACGATTGCCTTGACAAAGCGGCCAACTTCTTCCATGAAATGCCCGAACGCGATCTTGTCTCTTGGAACTCTATCTTGGAGGCTTACGCCGTGGCTGGTCACGACCGTCTTGCAATGAAAACGTTTGAGACGATGCCGGGGAAAGATCTTTTTTCTTGGAGCACCATTCTAGCAATGCATGTCCGGAGCTTGGAACTTCATCTCGTGGCAGAGCTCTACACTTCCCTGAAGATCGAAGGAATCACTCCGGACGAGATTGCTTTTGTGTGTCTCATCTTTAGTTGCAGCCACGCTGGAGATTTGGACAGAGGTGTGCACCACTTTAAGTCGATTGCCTTGGATCATGGCGTGGAGCCGAGCAAGCGCGAGTATGGCTGCTTGCTTGATCTTCTTGCCCGAGCTGGGCATTTGCGGGATGCTTTCGATCTCGTTGCCAACATGCCGTTCGAGCCGGATGTGGACGATTGGAAGAGTTTCCTTGCATCTTGCAAGAGTCTCGACGATCTCAAAACAGCGTCCACTGCATCCAAATCATCACTGGAGCTGGACTCACGCAGCTCTGTGCCTTATGTGTTGCTAACAAACCTTTGCACTCCAACTTCCGAGCAAAAGGTTGGTTTCAGAATGTAAAGATGGTTGTTTTTCAGTTTTACTTTTATAGCTTATGAGATTTTAAAAGTAAATTGCATTTTTAGTTCCTTTTTCATTTTGATTTAGATGTTGTGCTAAAACAATTTTTTAATTTGTATAGTATAAATAATTTATTCTATCAAATTTTTAAAACTAAAACATATTTACTATCAAAATTGTTACTAAATATTTTAAAATGTTGTTCGCACTAAACTGATGACATTTTCAAAGCATTTGCTTTTATTGCCAAGAACAACATCCGTGTCTAACATAACTGCTAAAATTTTATTGTGAAGCCTAAAGAGGAAAAGTAATTTTTCTAGTTCTACCTTCTTTGCATTTTTCTATAGATTAATTATCAAATTTTAACAAGTTTCAAAATATTTTTCATATCAAATCAATGTAAGTTTTCATTAGTGTATAATTAATTACAGTATTCAATGTTTTAAATTACAATGAACTTCTATTTCAAAAATAATTTCTATTTTTTTAATTTTCAAATTATTCATAAAATAATTAATGGCTAAAATTTTATATGGTTATGGTGCTTTGATCATAATTAATTTATATAACATCACAATATAACTTACAACCAAAAAAATAAAAACTAAAATAAACTTTCACTCAGCTTGATTACCTAGTGACGAGGATGATATTATGGTTATAATAACTACTTTGAATTAAAAAACTAATTAATACAATCTCAATTGATTCAATTAAAAAACTAGGAAATAACTTATCTTCCACTCTACCTTTATAAAAAAAAGTTTAACTACCTTTAGTTTTAAAAATTTATACATTAAGTTTTACTAACTTTTGTGATTTTCTCACTATATAGCTATGCCCTAATTTATTAAGTATTTTCATTCTATTTTATTTTATATTTTTTATTATTATATTAAATTAATATATATTGAAAATATAGTTTATTAAAAAATAGATTTAAAAACTTTAAACATTTGTATAAGACAAAAGAAAGAAAAATATATTATAATTGTTATACCTTAGTCTAAATCTTTTAAAATAGAAAACAAATTAATTTAAATAGATGAATATTTTTATGAGGTCCAAGTGTACAACTATAATGTTATATACTAAGATTAATATAATAGGGTTTTGATAATTATTAGATTGATTTCAATCATATATATAAACTAGGGTTTTTAGGCTAATGGATGTATATATTCCTATTCCCTTTCTATATTGTATGCACTCACATTAGTGGAAGTGAGGGCCAACTTTAATTATTTTTAAGGAGTGCTTCAATTTGGGATTTTGGTTTAGATTTAATTTTTATATTATCTAGATTTCACTTTCTTTTTAGCTTTTTCAATTTTTTCTCTTTTGTTTTTTCTCCTTTTCATTCATCTTCATGGCAAAATAATAGCCTTTTCCTCCTAACTCTGAAGTAGCACTTGGTGCTTGATATTATGTGGTTGCTATTGAACAATCAGACTTGATAATGATATTCATAGCACAGTGGTACAATTCCTCCTCTTATTACTGTCAATCTTCATGTCTGCCCAAAGTTATTTTATGGGAATTTTAGGGATGATATGTACCATTGATTTAATCACTTTACAGTGACTAGTACTTATCATACTTGGGATGATATTTGATGTTTTCATAAGTTTCCGTACCTATAAAGGATGGTGTTATAGTGGTATAATGGTTTAAGTGCAACTATTCATATGGATTATAACATTTTCCTGGACGTCTTCAACCTTGCATTTGGACATGCTAACAATTAAAAGGATGCTTTTTAATAATTACATCTTCTTTATCAAAGACCATTTAAATCAATAATGCAATTTGGCATTCACTTTTGGAGACTTTTACTTTATATAGAGTTAAATATATAAGAGTATATCAAGTTGGAATGTTGTGGTTAACACTTTGTCAAGATATTGTAGAATTTGTATATGCACTTGCTCCAACCGCCCTTAACAATACTCTTTGATTCGTGCAATATTATGAAACATCACATCTTCCACTTTTTGCTAGATGTTATTTAACTCCAATTCCTATGGGAGATGGTTCTGATGAAGGTTGATGCTGCTGTTGCAAAGATAAAGGCAAAGACGTGATCATGGCCATGATATCCATTATTAGGCATATGATGAGGTTAACCACACATATTAATGGTTTTGGCATTTTCTAAATTAGTGTCCTTTATTTCCTAGATGGAGGATTTAGCATTAACAATGTCCTAGTGGTGTTGTTGCAATAAAAAGTGTGGATATCGAGATTGTTTTGGGAAATAAAGAGTTATGTAAGCAATAAAGGGTATTTGTGAAAATAAATTAGTGACCCCTTCATCCTGTTTTCAAAAGTATCACTAAAAGGTTCATTCAACACTAGTTAGTTCAATATTTACTTTCTAAATTCATTTTTATAATAAGAAATATTTTATTATTCTCTCTATGTTAGTTGATACAATTTTGGGTTTATCTTCTATTTCTCGGCTATATGTTATAGTCTATATTTGCCGTCGTGCATCAAAATTAGTTTTCATTCTTTATAGCAACGGCCATGCATATGTATGTGCACACAATGAGGCAAACTTAATTGTGCATTTAGACAACCTTGAATTTATGTTTTAATCATTACAAGTGGTGTTGAGTTAAACTTTTGACTTCATGCTTGGTATAGATTAGTTGTGGCACAATTATATCAAGTATGACTGTGATATTCTTCCTTTTGTTTTATATTTACTCATATTTATTCCATTCCTTTCACTTTTGTTCTTCTTTTTTGTGCTTTTACTTTTGCTTCTATTACTTTTGATTTCCCATTAATTTTTCCTATATTTCCATTTTGCTCTTTTATTCACTTTCATGTCCATTAAATGATCTTTGTGTTATAGTAGTTGACTAACTCATTGTTACAAATGTGACTTCGGATATCAAAGGATACTTATTTGCCAATTTTTACAGACACTTGCTCCTTCGTACCATTATAGCAGGAGGTCAATACTATTAGTTCCTTTTATAGTCTCCACTCAAGCTAATTAAGAAACTAATCATCATATGTGCACTTGACTAAATGAGTATAAAGATAGAATTCCTAAATGTTATTAGTCATACTTGACCAGGTTAGAGAAACTTATTTGCTAACTTGCACTTACTAGTGTTAGGAATCCCCGTAATATTAAACTTGGTCCCTCAATATTGTTAGATAATAAGTTATCGCATCTACCAAACACTCTCACTATCATCCCCCTTGTGTTAGTCCCATTCTAGTCCCATTTGTTATTTTAAAAATGTATTTAGATCTACTAGTTAAGCATATTTATAGCATATAAAGATTGTCCTGAATACAATGGTGTTATTTTTGCTTCTAGATTTGTAATCTAGCACTATTCCATATTTAGTAAGTTTTCATAATTGTTCCTGTTTCAAATATATAATGGGGATAGTGGTTGAAATTTTGCATATAAATGTTTTAAATATCAATCTTAGAATATCTTAATGCAAAATATAAATTCATAGGGCTCAAAAGGTTGGGTTGTGAATTTAAAGGCTTTATGAGAACTTTGAAAATCTTACATCATTTGCTATTGAATTACCATTTCGGTAGTTTATATTTTCAATATTGCCTTAAGGACAACCTTCTTTATTTTGTTGAGACTAATCTTGATGATCACTTACAGATAATGGTACCTTCAAGATTTATTTCACACTTTCTATCATGACTCTTCTGGGCATTTGAAATATCAACATGTGACTAAAAAACTATATGGAAACCAAAGTGGCAGGAATCAAGGCAGTCCCAGGCATGAAATACTTGTTTTCCACTAGAATAGTTTAAACATGTTTCACGTGACAATCTGGAAGGGCTACGGTTGTGCAATGGCCATATGCTGCATTGAAGTTGTTGCAGATTTGAAGGAAATGCCTGGAGAGAAATGGAGATCAACTCATGGTCAATGGGGAGATATATGATTTTGCAGTTAACTATGCTATTTCTATCATTTCATGCATCCTCTCATTGAGGTCATGAAGTATGGACTTATCAGTTGTGGTGCTGTCCTATTTGTGTAGCGTATATCGACAAGCCTGCTTACCAGCCTTTCCCTCCGTTCCTTGATATCTACAAGTTCTTCAGGACACTGATCATCTGTCTACACTGTCCAGGGCCTTGGCCTCCATTGGTGACCCCAACAAGAATCTGGCTCTGTTTTATGGAACCTTAACTCGAGGGAAACAGAGGGTACCAGAAACCGTCTAAGATCAGGACGCCGTACAGCATGGGAGCAACCATCGTACAGAGGTCTCGTGCACAAGCAGCAGTCTTAACAGCACAATGTATCTGGCACTTATGAGTTGGACCTTGCAAGCCCATGACAGTGCTGGCAAGTGAGCTGCGCGTGCATCTTAGATACTCGGTTTAAGTGGTTGAATTCAAATAGTCTAGTACAGCAAAAACTACCAAGATCACTATATAATACATTTCATTTAATGCATTTAACTGTTTAAATGGTCCCAGGTTATCGTGTGGTTGTCTGTCCTTCTCGGCAGTTTCTCTAGTGATACAATATAAACAGTGATTTTGCTAATGAACCTGATTTAGATGTGTCTAATATCATGCATGACTGGCTCATACCTTATATACTTTCCTCAACACTGCTTTCCCCATGCTTCCCTGATTTATAGTGTTTCAAGCATGCCGTGAGAAGAATGCACTCGTGATGGCAGTATAATGGCGCTTTGGGATATATCTGAATGTCGAATGAGAGTTCATTCCTTCTCCATTTGCTACATTTTCTATCAACCATCTCCGACATAGATTACAGGGAGTGCTAACTTACTTGGTTGCTCTGAAGGCCAGAATATGACCTAGATGTTCTAACACGATTTCAAACAGCCAGATTTTTTATAAACAGGGACTTCAAGAAAGACAATGAAGCCGAATTTCAAATCCTAGAAAGTGATAGCATGGAACCAGGAGTGCCGAGCGAAAATATTTCTCAGCAAACTTTGACTGGAGTTGGATCAAACGGACAGCTTTCTTAAGCTAAGCAGGAGTCGACATTCTTGACAAGCGCCAATAGCAATCCCAGTTTAGATTCTCTTAAAATTTTTGAATTCCTTCAATCACGCAAAGCCAAAATTCGTCCGAATTGACCAGGGAATCTGAGTCCTCGTGGTGCCGAAAATTGTTTTGGAGCTCTAGAGCCTCGCTTGTTCTAATCTAGCACACACTCACTTGCCTGTAGTGGCTGGGCCTCCCATCTGGATACCTCACACGTCATCTCGAACCCGTCACGCTTGAGCAGCATCTCATGCTCGAGCTCCTCGCAAGCCAAATCTCCCACACCCGATCCTCATCCCCGGATGATCGTGAAGTGGAGCAACAAGAACTTGCCATCGGACAGCTCCACGATTACGTTATGCTGTCCGATGGCAAGTTCTTGTTGAGTCGGTATGTGGAAGTTCCTCTCCTCGGAGGAGCGCTGCACCGCCACGAGCGAGGAGTGGATCACGTTGATGCCGTAGTTTGGTTGGGATGCGGATTTATGGAGACGCGGAGTTGCAGTGGAAAGAGCCACTCCACCATCGCCGAGTAGGCGCGATATGAGGAAGCCGACTTGGCTGCACAGCTTCTTCTTGGCCGACTTGGATGGGAGACTCTTGCAACTCTTGTGCTCGTAGAGATCCTCAAGCATGAACCTGGAGAAGCCGCGGTACAAATTGCGCGTCTCCGGGTCCTCCTTGATGTCCCTGTGCACGGCCTACTCGTCGCTTCCAAACAAGCGGATGAGAGCTCGTCTCGCGGTCTCGGCGTTGGAGGTGGGGTCGGTGGCGATGGGATGCTCCAGCTCGATGCCGGAAACGAGCTCCGCTATGCTCTCGTCGCTGTGGTGGTCCAGCAAGAATTCGTCTAGGCGGTAGAAGCTGACCAAGCCGGGATATAAATCGTGCGCCATCTCGCGAAGCATCTCTCCGAATGTATCCACGGTAGCATCGTCAGAGCCAATTGACACAGAGCTTTAGTCATGAAAATAGCTTGGATTGATCGTATGATCTTTACCGAGATCAGAGAAGACATGGCCATCCAAGACGACGTTGTAGGGCATGTAGGAATTACTCGTGGTGTCTGGATGCTTCGGAGTTGATCGACAACACCAGCACCGTTCGAATGTGATCGAAGCTCAGCTTGGACAACCAGAACAACCAGAAGTAGTACGATGAGCAGCATCAAACCAAAGAACACCAAAGGCACCGAGGCTGGAAGCCTGCTCGGTATGCTCCCCTCGATGACTGTGACAACGATGAGATAAGGCAAAGGTGGGGTAGAGGAACGAGCTGAGAATGTACTTGTCGCTGGACTTCTGGACGACAGGCCCGGGCCCGAGGAAGAGGCTAAGCAGTAGATACAGGAACGTTGGTAGAAGCCCAAGGAGGAGCAGAAAGGAGCTGACGTGGAACTGGAAGAAAGTCTGGAACACAACCGCGAATGGCCAGGAAAGCCATGCTGGTACCGAGATCCTTGAAGAAGCTGATGGACTCCTGCTTGTAACACAGAGAGATTTTGAGCTCCTGCGTTGACAAGCTGAAGCTGGTGAGCGTGCCTCCGGTGCATGCTATCAGGTAGAAGCCCGACATTGCGATGACCCAGCGATTGCTGGCGATGGAGAAGAGCTCCCTCGCCATTGCTAGAGCCATTGCCGACTTCGCAGGTAATAATCGTTTTTTATGCCTTTGTCTTGTTCGTATTGCAGTAGCCGTCGCTTGCGTGGACGATCTTTTCGTTTCTCAAAACACACTAGAAAACGTGACAATTGCGAAGGTTCATGGATTTTTCTAGGTGGTGGGTCAACTAAGTTGAGCTTTGACGCTTGATGTGGATCCGAGGCAGGCAACATGTGGACGCTGGTCAGATCACGGATACGGAAAAGTCCACAAAATGGTCTTGAGCGGGGGCGGATCCGGAATCGGCGCAATGGTAACGTTCTTAGCATTTTCGTGCTGCCCACTTGAAAATCTTATTTTTTGCAACTATATAAGCAGGGCACTGGGAGGACACTACCCGCATCTCAAAGTTGAGAAAGCCTAGCATCCAAGCATTCGATTTCCATTTCAAGCTTTCTTGCCTTCACAGTCCCATCCATGGCTGGGATCAAGGCATTTGTTGACAGCTGCAACGGGACGCTGGACAGCGTTCCAGACAGATACATGATGCCGAATGGAGCTGCCGATGTCTCCCGGTACGCGGTGCTGCCGATAGTCGATGTGGCGAGCGAGAGCTTCGAGAGGGATCTCGTTGACGCTTGCTCAAAGTACGGAATGTTCTATGTAAGATTTCAAGAAGTGACTTTTTTCCTGTACTACATGTTTGCTAAGTGGATGTATTTCTTGTTCAGCTCAAGAACCACGGCATTCACACCGAGGATGTGATGAGGTGCGCTCTCGAGTTCTTCAACTCGCCCAGCGAGGACAAGATGCGGTACTACACCGAGGAGATCTTCACACCCGTCCGCTACTGCACCAGCATGATGCCTTCGAAAGAAGAGAAGCTCGAGTGGCACGACCACCTCCAGATGTGGCTCAAGGAAGAGTCCCTCGGAGCGCACCCCTGGCCCGCGTTCCCAGCCAGCTATAAGTCAGTATCTCGCTCCTTGATTATGGTATTGCTCTAGATTGCTGATGGTCTATATGCAACAGAGACGTTGGATCCGAGTACGCCAGAAACATCTTCAAGCTCGGGAAGAGGATGCTGTTGGTCATGTCCGAGGGACTTGGCCTCCGCTCAAACCGTCTTCTGGAAGCATTCGAAGACATGGTTCTTCTGACGAGAGCCAACTTCTATCCGGCTTGCCCGAACCCGAGGCAGGCCTTGGGGATGGAAGGCCACACTGACAGCGGCGGCCTCACGTTTGTGCTCCAGGATGGAGTCGGGGGATTGCAGCTCAAGCAAGGCGAGGATTGGTACAATGTGAGGCCACTCGAGGGAATGCTGGTGGTTAACATGGGCGATCAGCTAGAGGTACGAGCAGTCGAAAACGTTTTGAGAAACTGTGGATTGATCTTTGTCTTGGTTGATTGTCTTGTATCAGAAGCTGAGCAATGGGAGATACAAGAGCATATTGCACAGGGTGATGGTGAACTCGAAGAGCTCGAGGCTGTCCGTTGGGGCGTTCTTGGGGCCATCACTAGATGCGGAGATCAGCCCGATTCCAGAGCTGGTGAGCCAGGAGAGTCCGGAAAAGTACCGCAGCAGGACTTACAGGGACTACATGCACGAGGTGTACACGGAGCACTTCTCCGGGAAGAATGTCTATGTGGCTTGAGCCTTGGGTAGTCATAGGCACCAATTTTTTCTCATCTCACGATTTTTTGCTCACAAGGATCTTAATGTGATAAGCATGTATGGACACATACGAAATTTGCTCCCTTGACCGACTGTGTGCTGCCTAGAAGGTTGTAAAAGATTAACAATCCGACTGTGTGCTGCCTAGAAGGTCATAAAGTTTAACAATCTGGGAGGGAATAAGAGAAATTTTCGTTAACAGGTGAGGGCCAAGTGTACGGCTACGATGCCGTATACTAATATTAGCGTAGTGGATTTTGGTAGCCGTCGGATTGGTTTCAATCCGGACCACTTGCTCTTGTATATAAACTAGGGTTTTTGGGCTAATTGATATGCACATTTTTGTATTCTTTTTCCATATTCCATGCACTCACATTGGTGGAGGTGAGGGGCACCTTTGATTGTCCCTGGGGAGTGCTTAGATTTGGGATTTTGGTTTAGATCTAGCTTTTTCCATTTCCTTTCTTTTGTTCTTTCCTTTCAGGATTTTGGTTTCGATCTAGCTTTTTGCATTGTCTAGATCTACCATTTCTTTCCAGCTTTTTTGTCATTTCTCTTCTTTTGCTCTTTCTTTTTCGTTCATTTTCATGGCCGATCCGCAATCTCCTCCTTTGACTCTAGAGCAACAGTTGGTTCAATTGCTTGATGCTATGCGCTTGCAATTGAACAACCAAACTCAGTTGATAGCGGCGTTCACGGCACGTGGTACAACTCCTCCTGCTCTTGGTGCCAATCCTCGCGTTCGGCCGGAGTTCTTTCGCGGGAATCCTGGGGATGATGTGTACCATTGGTTCGATCACTTTACGGTAATTGCCACATATCATTCTTGGGATGATGCTCGACAGTTGCGTGAGTTTCCCACGTGTCTCCAAGGGACGGCGTTGCAGTGGTACAATGGTTTGAGCGCAGCTACTCGTGGGGATTGGAGTGTTCTCCCGGACGTTTTCAAACGAGCCTTCGGACATGCCGATGATTGTGATGATGCTTTCCAACAATTGCATCGTCTTCGCCAAGGGCCATCGGAGTTGGTGATGCAATTTGGCGTTCGTTTCCGAAGTCTTTTGCTTCGTGCGGAGCCAAATATGTCGGAGCGGATCAAGCTAGGAATGTTGTGGCCAGCACTTCGTCAAGATCTTGTCGGACTTGTGCATGCACTTGCTCCTGCCACCCTTGACAATGCTCTTCACTTGGCACAACGTTATGAGACGTCGCCTCTTCCACTTCTCGCTGCACGTCCTTCCGCTCCACTTCCTATGGGTGATGGTCCTGTTCCAATGGAGGTTGATGCTGCTGCTGCTCGAGTCCAAGGACAAGTGCGAGGACGTGGTCGTGGCCGTGATATTCGCTGCTGGGCGTGTGATGAAGTTGGTCATATTTATCGGCGTTGCCGTCGTTTTCTGGATTGGTGACCTCCATTTCCTGGGTGGAGACCTTGGCGTCAGCAACGTCCCCTGGGTGCTGCTGCAGTGGAAGGTTTGGACACCGAGATGCATCCGGGAAACGAGGAGTCGTGCGAGCAACAGAGGGACCTTGCGCGAATAAATCAGTGACCCCTCCATCTTTCTTTCGGGAGTATCATCAAGGGGTTCATTCGGCACCAGTTCATCCAGTATTTACTTTCCAAGCTCGTTTTTATAACAAAAAGTCTTCTATTATTCTCTCCGTGTTGGTTGATAAAGGTTCGAGTTTATCTTCTATTGCTCGACCTGTTGCCACACGTTGTCGTCTACACTTGCGTCGTGCGGCAGAACCAGTTTTCATTCTTTATGGCAATGGCCGTACACATGCATGTGCACGGGATGAGGTGGACCTGGTTGTGCGTGTGGGCAATCTCGAGCTTGAGTTGCAGTCATTGCGGGTGGTGCCGAGTCAAGCTTTTGACCTCATTCTTGGTATGGATTGATTGCAGCGCAATCATGCCAAGTGTGACTTTGAGGCTTCTCCCCTTTGTCTCATACTTCCTTATGTTTCATCCATTCCTCTCACTTCCATACCTCTTCATCCCTTTACTTCTACCTCTGCTTCCATTACTTTTGTTTCCCCACTCTTTCCTTCTGTCTTTCCATCTTGTTCTGCTTTTCCCTTTTTCGATCCCTCCGACGATCTTTGTGTTGCAGCAGTTGACCGGCTCATGAAGGAGTATTCTGATCTCTTTGAATTTGACCTATCATCTGGGGCCAAGATTGCCACACGTCATCCAATTCCCACCGGGGATGCTCGTCCAATCAAGGTTCCTGTTCGTCGTCGGTCACCTAAGGAGATCAAAATTTTACGAGCAAACGTCAAGGAAATGCTGGAAAAGGGTGTTATTCGAAAGTCGCGGAGTCCTTGGGCATGTGAACCTCATCTTGTGACAAAGCCTGATGGGAGTATTCGTTTCTGCATCAACTATCGTCCGTTAAACGAAGTGACGATCCCATATGTGTATCCTCTTCCTCACATTGCTGATCTCTTGGATCGTCTGAGGCAAAGTCATTGGTTCACCAAGCTAGATATTGCTTCTGGGTATTGGCAAGTACCAATGGCTGAAGAAGATATTCCTAAGACTGCTTTTCGTACACCATTTGGTTTGTACGAGTTCTTGGTGATGCCGTTTGGTTTGAACAATGCTCCAGCAACTTTCCAGCGGATGATGGACGAGGTTCTTTGCGATATGCCAGAGGTGACTGCTGACTTCATTGATGATGTCTTGATCCACTCGGAGGGGATGTGGGAGGAGCACGTTCGTAATGTTTGTAAAGTGTTGGATCGGCTACGCGATGTTGGTTTAAAGCTGAAGCGGTCGAAGTGCGTGTTTGGGTCCAAGGATACAACTTATCTTGGGTACCGTATTTCTCGTGAGGGTTTGCAAGTTGATCCTGACAAACTTGTGGTTGTTCTAAAGTTCTCTACTCCGAAGTGTGTGAATGATGTGCAGCGCTTTTTGGGTAAGGTGCAGTATCTTGGTCGTTTTGTGGATCATCTTTCCGATCGCACTACACCATTGCAAGCATTGCTGAAGTCATCAACGTCATCTTTCATCTGGTCTCCGGATTGTGAGCGGGCGTTCGTGGATCTCAAAGAGCTATTGACAACTCCTCCGGTTTTGGCATATCCTAACTACACTCGACCTTTTATTTTGCGCGTGGATGCTTCTGACATTGGTCTTGGAGGTGTGTTGATGCAAGAGAGCTCGAGTGTGCCTGGTCAGTGCCATCCCATTGCATACATAAGCCGTACATTACAACCAGCGGAGATGAACTACTCCACGACGGAGAAGGAGTGTTTAGTAGCAGTCTGGGGTTTCGAGAAACTTCATGCATATCTACATGGTTCTCGGACGTTACTTGAAGGTGACCATGCTGCTGTTACTTCATTATTGAAGCGGAAGAACCTGGTTGGTCGTACGACTCGATGGGCTTTGAAGCTTCAGATATATGATTTCGATGTTTTTCATCGCCCAGGGAGTTCTATGGCTGATGTTGATGCCCTTTCTCGAGCTCCTCTTCCTTCTCCACTCACTTCTCATCATTCTGACGAACCTGTTGTTCCAGCATCTATGGAGTTTCTAGATGAGGATTCTGTGCCGTCGGCGGTTGCTGTCCTTGACGTTCAGTGTCCACAGGGTGCAGAGCAAGGTCTGCCTTCTCTTGAGGAGGTTCGCGAGGCTCAAAAGATTGAGCCGTGGATTCGAAGGCTTCGAGATGGGTTTGAGAATCCTGCATCACTTGCTAATGACTTGCCTTTCCGGCATTTACATTCTCAATATCGCCTTGAAGATGGCCTTCTTTATTTTGTGGGGACGGATCCTGATGATCATTTACGACTGGTGGTACCTTCGGTGTTTATTCCGCGGTTTCTCTATGCCTACCATGATTCTCCTGTTCTAGGTGGGCATATGGGACACCGTCATGTCACCGAGAAGCTGCACAGGTCTTTCTATTGGCCGGAGATGCGACGTGATATTATCCGATATGTGCGTAGCTGCGTTTGGTGCCAAGCTCGTAATACTCCCCCTTGTGCTGCGGAAGGATGGTTGGAGTCAATTGCAGTTTCCCGTCCGTTTGAGTTTGTGGCGTTTGATCTTATGGGACCTTTTCCACGATCGACTGTTGGCAATGAGTATGTTATTATTGCTTCTGACTACTTGACTCGTTGGGTGGAAGTTGGTGCTCTTGCTAGTGCCTCTGCAACTGCTGTTGGATACTTCCTCCTCAATCGAGTGGTGTTCCAGCATTCTTGTCTAGAGCGGATTCTTTCGGATAATGGTCTTGCATTTATGGTTGAGGTATTTCATATTTTGACATCTTGGTTGGGGATACGCCACACTTTTACGAGTGCTTATCATCCACAATCAGACGGTCTGGTGGAACGGCTCGTTCGGACATTCAAAGGGATGATTTCGAAGTATGTGAACTTTCAGCATTCGGATTGGGATGGTTATTTGCCGTCTCTTCCGTATGCCTATGTCACAGGGGTGCAGAGTTCTATTGGTGCTTCACCATATAAACTTCTATATGGTCATGATCCAATATTACCAACAGAGTTGGGTTTACCTTCGTGATTGCCACGAGCTCCTGATGCTAGGTCATGGGATCAGTATTTGACAAGCATTCTTCCACTTGTCCGAGCAGAGTCTGCCGAACACTTAGGCCGCGTACAAGTGGGACAACAACGGCGCTACAACTCCCATCATCATCCACCTGCGGAGTACAAAGTGGATGATTTGGTGTTAGTCCGTTTTCCCCATCTTACGGTACGTGGTTTATCTAAGGGGCTCCTTGCGCAGTGGAAAGGACCGTATCAGGTGTTGCGGCAAGTTAGACTGCAAGTTTATGAGGTTCGGCATGACGTTCAGCAGGCCGATCCTCCGGAGATTGTGCATGTGCAGTGGTTAAAACGCTTCATACAAAGGGATCAGGAGCAGTTAATACCGTCTACAGATCCGCCAATGCCTCCTCCTGACGTTCCTCCAGATCCTGGCCCATCTACAAGAGAACCCTGACGGCCTTCCATTATTCCGAGAGGAGGGGATGATGTGAGGGCCAAGTGTACGGCTACGATGCCGTATACTAATATTAGCGTAGTGGATTTTGGTAGCTGTCGGATTGGTTTCAATCCGGACCACTCACTCCTGTATATAAGATAGGGTTTTTGGGCTAATTGATATGCACATTTCTGTATTCCCTTTCCATATTCCATGCACTCACAGTGTCTTATTATATAAATAATTTATAGTTGAATTTTTGTAACGTGGTTCTAAGCAACAGAATGATATGACTGAGGTGTGATCGTGTTATATGGATTGCAAGTATTATCCAAACACACATAAAGTAGCACTTTTCCATCAGGTGTCCACTCTTTTTATTTTCATTTGCTTTAGATTTTCAGCTGTGTCAAGTCCAATGAAAACCACACTGACAATCAACTTGAACTTCGATAGAAAATTAAGAAATTTTTCCCTGCAGTTTTCAGCAAGAGCGTGGTGGGACAAGGACCTCAGAGTGGTGTGCGCGGGGAGATGGAGGAACGTGAGCATGGGAATGGAGGGAGAGAGAAGACTTCCACAACAAACTTACAAACTTGTTTGCACAGTCTCATGCTTTTTGTTGGGCACTGCAAGACTGCCAAAACAGAATATAAAATAGAATAGACTATCGAAAGGAAACCTGAACTATACCACAAGCCCAGTACATACAAGAGGTAAGGTGTGCGTATGTAGCTGGGAGCACTATGTGCTTAACGCCAAATGAAACAACACCCCTGTAATAGCAAAAGTACAATGTATCAAGTTTGCTACACACTCTGGCATACCTGTAAGTTTATCAATGAGGGGTATCTAGAGAGAAATTAAATATTGACAAATAAAACTAATAAAATTCATACTATATTGTGTGTCAATGATATTGAAGTTATGATTTCACCTGGTTATTGCAATATTTCTTAATGGTTTTTATATTTTTGAAAGATTTAATTATGTATAGAAATTGTTGTAAGGGTTAATTGTTATATTATACCTCTATACCAGTTAAGATTTGATTCATTCTAAATTTGATCAAAATGCATATAAGAAAAAGAGACTTCCACCAATCTATTGCAGAAACAAGCCACATATATAATTTAATATTGTTGACTAAAGTCTGTAATATTTTATTCATATTGTGCTAATAATAATTAAAAATTATTTGCTACAAGAACTTGTTTTAAATTTCATCATGTAGGTTTTTGGTTTGCTTAAGCAAAACTGTATGGTAATTAGAACATGTTTGGATATTCTGGGATATTCTAGAATCTAATGGTTAGTATTCATTTAGATTAATCTTTTTTTCTAATTTATAAACACGCTTATAATTTATAAACTTTCCTAAACACTTGTTAATATATTCTAGTTTAATCTTACGAAATAAGATTATCCTTATATTTATAAATTATAAATTTCCATTTGATCAATTGGATTAATAAATAGGTGAAACACACAAACTAAGCATTGCTGCATGGAAGCCACAGCAAAGTATTTACATTGTATGAAGTTTATTGTTGTCAATGTTTTAACTGTCATATTTTTACTGATGAACACTCCCTTTAAATTTGATTTATAACTCATCTTCAAAAACAGATTAAAAGAGAAAGAAAACTTGCAATTGCATAGCAACACAAATTTATGCATATACTTCACATCTAGACATGAGCATTTTGACCCTAAATAATTACACATTAAATGTAAATGTAGAAAGACTGGGAGAATCCAATCTGGGGTTGTCTTGGACTCAGGGATATCACCGCCCAAAGTTGAAGATCAAAGGAATCACTCCGGACTTGGACAGAGGTGTGAGGCACTTCAAGTCGATCGTCTTGGATCACGGCGTGGAGTCAGGCAAGCAAGAGTATGGCCGCTTGCTTGATTTTCATGCTCGAGGCTAGGCATTTGCAGCATCGTCTCTTGGAACGAGGCGAACGTCTTGTAAGGAAAACGTTTGCAACAATGCTGTGTTTTACGTAAACCTTTTGTTCGGTATCAGCTTACAAGTTTGGCAGCCATTTTCGAGAAAAAGGAGCTTGCTTTCAGAACGTAAGGAACATCGCAGGTAGGGTTAATGCCGATAAGATCTCTGGATAAATATAGGGAAACGTGCTTTCATTAAAATTCACCCTTCTTACTCGTTTCGATGAGCCTCTTACTCGCTTCGTGCGGTCCCCGATCTTGTGGAAGGGCCGATCACCGATCTTGTGGAAACCAGATCTTCTGGGGCTTCAATCCTGGTTCTCCCAAACCTTCCCTCGAGTTGGAAAGTCGCTCGCTTTTGCCCTTTGTTGTATGATAACAGACAGGTCCTGGAGCGGGAAAGCTCTGTGATGGAAACGTTAACAAGTAACAATACAAGGCCTTCTTCGAGCACTTGGTTTGTTCTATAGATCAAGGCAGTTTCAGGAGCTCGACATCGCTGCAAAGCTTCCGCCCACTCATGCCAAAGCTCGTCAAAGCTTTCCTACAAGAAATAGAAAGTGAAAGACTGCTTCTCAGCCACCTTTCGACTGAAATATGCTCGCTTTCAAAACATAAGGAGCGTCACTCCCTGGATCCCCGAGAATGGCCTTCTCGGCAATCTGGTTTCCCGCTTCCACGTCGCTCAAGCCTTGGCAAGCACGGACAAAGCTCGTCAAGAATCCACTCTCTGGAACGAATGGCATGCTTGCAATGAGGTCTCGAGCATCTCCTAAATGCCCAGCTCGACTGAGAAGATCAACCAAGCAACCGTATTGCTCTTTGGTAGCCACCAAGCAATGGTCGCGCAGCATCGAAGCGAAGTAAAGCTTGGCGACTTTAAGATCGCCACAGTGGCTGCAGGCAAGAAGTATTCCAGAGAAGGAGACCTCGTCAGGGCGAGAACCATCCATCGCCATCTCGTTGTAAATCCCGAAAGTTTGCTCAAAGTTCCCGGCTTGGGCATTCAGTGTAAGCATTGCATTCCACGCAGTAGAGTCTTTCTTCTCCGGCATCTGCTGGAACAGTACTAGAGAACTTGCGAGGCATCCCTTCTGTCCATACGCCACCACCATTTGCGTCCAGGAAACCATGTCTTTCTCTGGCATAGCCACGAACAAGGCAGTGAGTTCCAGCAGATTTCTCCTCTCTTGGCCCTGGTTATACGCAGCAAGCATGGCATTCCACGAAACAGCATCGTGGTATGGCATGCCATGATCGAACAGGCACTTGGCTTGCTCGAGTTTCCTGTGCTGGACGAAGCCCACCAGCATTGTCGTACACGAGATCAAGCTCCTGCACGGCATTGCTCGGAAGAGAATGGTGGCGTTTTCCAAGTTCCCGCTATCGCCTTCTTGGGAGAAGGCCATGAGCATTGCATTCCAGGCCACGAGGTTCCACTCGGGCATGGAATCAAAGACGCAATTGGCTTCGTGGAGCTTTCTCTTCTGAGCAAGATCGACGAGCACCAAGTTCCACGACACAATGTTCTTCACCGGCATTCGCGAAAGGAAGTTATCCTTAAAGGTGGAATCCTCTCCCTGGTGCTCAATGTACAAGCCCAGCATGACAGTCCAGGCGACCACTCCTCTCTCCGGGAGCATCTCCTCAAACATGATCTCCGCTTTGGTGATCTCTCCAGCTTGAACATACACCGAAAGCATCGCGTTCCACGAGACCAAGTTCCGAAATGGCATCCCCTTGAAGCACTCCTCGGCAGATTTAACGTCTCCAACGCGGGAGAAACCGCAAAGTAGTGTGGTCCATGAAACCATATCGCGATCCGGCATCGCATCAAATAATTGCTTTGCACTTTCAATATGCCCTGATTGGGCAAATGCTGCAAGAACTGCATTCCACGACAGTGTGTTTCTTTCGGGCATTGCGTGAAAAGCTTCCAGGACATGATTTATGAGATTTGCGCTTTCAAACGCTGAAAATAGTGTGTTCCATGTAACAATGTTACGTTCTGGAAATGATCGGAAGAGATCCAAAGCTTCTAAAAAATGCCCAGACTTGGCAAATGCAGAAAGCATCACGTTCCACGAAACTAGATCCCGTTGTGGCATCGCATGGAAAAGCTTGGTGGCGCGATCGAGATCGCCGCTTCGCGAGAATCCAGTGAGCAGGCAAGTCCACGAGATCTCATTTCTATCGGGCATGTCGTCGAAGAGAAGTGTGGCGCTGTGGAGATCTCCGGCGTGGACGTAGACACCCAGCATCGTGTTCCAGGCGCCAATGTCTTTGACAGCCATCGAATCGAAAACGCTCCTCGCGAACTCCACGCTGCCGCAACTCGCAAACATCTGGACGAGGAGATTCGAGATGGAGTAGTGGGCAGATCCATCGCTGCTGGCGCGCGCCTGCGCGTAGATCTCCCGCGCCTCGGCGAAGCTCCGGCACGATCTGATGCGCCGCGCGAGGCCCTGGAGATCCATCTCCTGTGTAGCGCATTTTCTTCCACGCGGGAATTTAGGGTTCTTCCATTCGCTAGTGCGGGAATGCTGCTAGGCATAGCGCTCGCCAAGAGTAAGATCAAGCTCTTGGATCGCGCTGCTCTTGCTGCCTCCTCGATCAGGCGATTCGGCGCCAATCGCTGGGACAGGGAAGGGGATTACGAGTGCGACGATGTCGACATTGGCAGATTTGTGGAGCTCTTCCCGAGCAAGAAGATCAGGGACGCGGCGCCGCCCAAGACACTGCGGGCCAGCCGCGAATCCGCCACGGTCATCCAGCTGCTGAGGAGCGCCAAGAAATCCCCGGCCAAGCTCGATGCGTACCTGGGCAGCCACGCTTCGCGGCTCCTTTGCAAGGATCTCCAGTACGTCTTAAATGTGTTCCTCAAGAACCAGGAGAACGACATAGACCTGGCTTTCAAGGTACGTGGTAGCATTCTCGTCCTCGTTTGTTCGTTCTACTACGTTCGTGTTCGTGGAGATCCATGCTTTCTACTCGTAAGCTTTGCTTTCTCGTCGTTTTCTCTCCAGATTTTTTCCAAGTTTCCTTGTCTCGTTGTTTGTTCTTCCTAGTGTTGTTGGAAGATCTATCACGTTTAGATTCCACTTGTCTGTTTGGAAGTCTGGCGATTGGAAGTTTCATGGATCTTAAGGTTGTATTTTCTCTCCATGCTGCCTTGCGTCTTTGTTCGTGTTCTTGAACTTGCCAAGGTTTTGTTATCTCGTCCCGGATCTTCAAACGTAGAAAGAACAAACCATACTCCATGTTTTCTATGATTGGAAGTCCATCTTCTTGTTCTCGCGAGCTCTGGTTCTTGCCTTCGTTTACTCGTGGTTTTCTCTCCATTGCATGTCCTTGATCTTGCCAGGGTTTTGTTATCTCATCCCCAACGTTGTTTGTTCTTTCTACGTTTGTGTTGTTATCTCTCATGTTTTCCTACGTGTGTGTGTGTGTGGAAATCATGTCTCCTCCTTGTCTCCTCGCAAGGTTTCGTCTCCTGGAAGTCCATCTGCTTGTTCTCGCGAACGGCATTTCATGTCCTTGGATCTAAGTATCTGTTTTGCAGATTTTCGAGCTGATTCGAAAGGAGAGCTGGTACAAGCCGAGCGAATCAACCTACATGCGGCTTGTCAGCTTCTACTGCCGCGCCGACGAGAGGAAGAAACCAATGAGACCAATCCTGGAGCTTCTCAACACGGCACAGGGCGAGGGCGTCGCCCTGTCGGAGGCCATGCTCACGGAGCCCATGCGCTGCTGCATCCTCCAGGCAGACTTCGATACGTGCCTCCAGTTTTACAGGCTCATGCGCTCGTCGGGGTGCCAAGTTCATCGCGGCCTCTACGCCTACCTGGCCAAGAGCTTTAGCAGGGCTGGGCTCAAGGAGAAGTCCTTCCAGATCTTTGCGGATGCTCCGGCGGAACAAGCTCCCTCCAGATTGGAGAAGAGGGAGAGAGTCTTTTTTGTCGAAGATTAGCGATAGAACTTTGGTAGGAATTGAGAGAAACTATGTCCCAACTCGCAGAGAATCTGATGTAAATTACTATGGTCCCATAATCTATGAAGTTAGCTGAGTCGATAAAATCATGCAAAGACTCCAACCAAGCCAGGCAAATCCACAAGCTTGTGGAGGAGCACAGAGAGCACATATCTCAGGACACTTTTCTCTACTTGAGCAAGCTTCTCATACGGATGTACGTGCGCTGCTCCTGCACAGCTCCTGCCAAGAACATCTTCGACCTCATGGAGCACAGAGACGTTTTCTGCTGGAATCTGATGCTCACAGCATTTGCCCAGGATGGCTGCCTCCGCGAGGCGCAGAAACTGTTTGATGCCATGGAGTTCAGGACCACCGTTTCATGGACAATCATGCTGGCGGCTTATTCACAGCAGGGGCAAATAGCTCAGGCCGAGATCTTATTTCTCTCTATGCCCGAAAGAGATGATGTTGCGTGGAATGCGATGTTGGCGGCATATACCCTTCACGGGCATGTTGTTGCCGCAGCTCGATGCTTCGAATCAAACCCAAGACCGAACTTAACATCGTGGAACTGCATGCTGGATGGGTTTTCGCGTGCTGGAAAGCTGCACAATCTAGTGGAGACTTTCAAGAAGATGCCACTGTGGGATATGATCTCATGGAACACTCTGCTATCTGCATATGCCCAGTCAGGGCATATGGAAACACTAAACAATGTCTTCCGTGCTATGCCTTGTCACAACCTTGTCTCGCTCACTTCCATGCTAACTGCGTACTCAAACCACACTTGCTACTTCGGAAGGGCTCGGATTTTGTATAGATCGCTGCCTGCGTACACTCTGGTGACTTTCACAGCCATGATAACAGCATACACACAAAATCAAAGTATCAGCGAAGCGAAGCTCTTGTTTGACGACATGCCGGAATGGGATCTTGTCTCCTGGAACTCCATGCTCGCGGCCTATGCCCGGAACGGACATATCGAGCAAGCCATTTGCTTCTTTGAAAGCATGCCTGTGGTGGACATCTTCTCCTGGAACTCCATTCTCTGGGCCTACTCAGTTGGAGGCCATGTCGACCAGGTGAAGATTTTGTCACAGGCGATGCCGGAGATGGACCTTGTGTCGCTAAACTCGGTCCTGTCCGTCAATGGAAGCTTGGGCGAGATCGAGGCGTTCTTCTCTTGTATGCCGTCTCGTGACTTGGTGTCGTGGAATTCCATGCTCGCTGCATACGCACAGAACGGACGTGTCCGGCAAGCCCAGGAGTTGTTTCAAGCCATGCCTGATCGTGATCTCACTTCCTGGAGGACAGCCTTGTCCAACCACGCCCGCAACGTCGATGGCTTCCAGAAAGACGTGTTTGAAGACCTGAATGTCCAAGGTGAGAATCCGGACGAGATGTGCTTTACGAGCTTACTGTTTGGATGCAGCCACAGGGGTGATGCTACCCAAGCGTGCAAGCTCTTCGCTTCCATGCTGGTCGATTATGGGCTGGAGCCAACCAAGTTGCAATTTAGCTGCATCATCGACCTTCTAGCTCGTGCGGGCCACCTGAGAGATGCCAATGATCTCATCGTCAACATGCCTTTCATGCCTATTGCTGAAGACGTACAGAGCTTGCTGGCGTTCTGCTTTCCAAAGCCAGCGTAAGCAAAGCCTGTAAGGTTTGTGTGTTGATAAACCAAGTTGTTTCTAAGTGGAATTCCATCCTGGAAGAGCTTCTGAACAGGAAAACAAAGGAAAAGAATGAGAAAAGTTTGAATCAACACAGTTAACGTACCGCGAGAGAGAGGAGCGCTTGGCCAACCTCGATGGATTTTCCTCACTCTTCTTCTACCAAAGTCCGCAATCCCTGTGTGTTTCGTAGCTCCAGATAATGCTCGTAAACCTTCTGCGCCTCGTCTAGGAGCCCAGCCTCCTCGAACTTCCTGGTCAGGTACATGTAGAAGCGGACGTCCTTCCGGCACGTCGAGGCATGCATCCGGTCGTAGAGCGTCATGCACGCATCGAAGTCGGTGCTGCTCACGCACGCTTGGATAGGAGTCTGGAACGAGAAAACATTTGGAATGAGCCCCTCCTCCTCCGATTCATCCAGCAGCTGGAAAATCCTCTCCATCGCCTTGGAATCCAATCTCTCGCTGTAGGCAGTGATGAGATGCAAGTAGAGCGATGCCTGTGGCTTGTACCAGCTTTCCTTCCGGATCAAGCCAAAAATCTGCCAAGTCCAGTGGAAAAACACGACATTTTGATAAGGAATCCCAGCTCTCTTACCAATTCCGCAAGATCCATCTCCTTGGCCCTGACGAAGACCCAGAAGAGCGACATGAGCTCCTCCCTCAGCAGCCTAGAAACGGAGGTCCGCAGCACGGATTTGAGCCGGTCAGGATCGCCTTTGGCCTTCTTCATCATGGTCGCCACACTGACCGTCTCCAAGCTCATGGACGGGATCCGGCGCGTCTCCACCTCCTGCGGCATCAGCAGCCTGCGCTTGATGGAATCGAAAGACCGCTCCAGCTGCGGCAGATCGTGAAGCGCAGCCCTAGCGCCGGTGCTTAGCGCCCGCGCTTGCCGGAGAATGCGCATCGCCCGGGCAAACAAGGAGAGGAGCCCTAGGGTTTACCCTAATCCTCTTTTCCCGCAAATTTTAAAATTTTAAAATTTTAAAATACTCTGTTTTAGGTCTTCACAGAGTGGAAGCTTGCCGATTTGATGTGATCGAGCTTCCCTTCCGCCGAATACTTCCACGAGATCCTCCTCACTTCATCCGCGCTCACCACCCAATTCACCACGCACGCGAATTCTTGGCCAGGATTCACGTTTCTTGGCACGCAAGCCGTGAATCCATAGGGCATATGGACCATGAAGGCTTGTTCTTCGTCGCAAGCGCTCTTGAATCCTCCCCAGGCTACTCCTCCTCTTGTCTCCAGCGTCAAATCGCAGGGAAACAACGTCATCTCCTGGCCTACGAATTCCCCGCGCGGCTCCTCCCGGCTCGGCTCCAGAGGAACGGTGGCGAGTTCGTGCTTCCAGACGCTCCCGTGCCATGAATCTCCCGGGCGCTCGCCCGAATCTCTGGACTCCTCGAGAATCTGAGATGCTGAAACCGATCCATCGGTACTGTAGCTAAAGATGATCGCCGCTCTCCCCTCCTTGCCTGGTCGAAGAAGTGATCTAAGACAAGAGAGAAGAATGGAGCTAGATAGAGAGCTCGCCTGGAAGCATGAAATGGACCTCGGATGGCACGGGCTTGCGGGGGAAATCAATCTCCAGCGGCAGCCAGCCAAGGTCTCCGTTTGGAAAGATGAGCGTCCGCGACGATGGAACCGCGGGATGGATGATCCCATCGGCGGCGCAGTGATCCTGGCGATTGATGAGCCACGGGCCAAGCATCCAATCCCTGTCGCCGCCCCTGGGGTCGTACCAATCGTTCTTGTGCAAGACGACCGAGCGATCGTCGGCATGGGACTGGAATGACCTGATGCTGCGATACACCTTGGCGGGGTCGCAGGCAGAGCTCCCATCGATGCGCCAGTTGACCCAGATGCCGTGGAAGTTCTGCCAGTGGAAATCGTCCATCCATTTCCACAGCTCTTCAGGATCGAGCTTGCGCGCCTCCACCACCGCCATAGCCAGACGAGAAAATCTCGACACTTCTCAGGATTCGAACCCGAGACCTCACCGCATTAGGGCAAAAGAGTTTAGGGTTTAGGGACTGCGCGATGGCGCCCAACGTAGCGAGCAGCGGCATTGCCATCGGCCTCAACAAGGGCCATGCCGTCACCAAGAGGACGCCGGCCAAGCGGCCGATCGACATGAAAGGGGTAAGATCTCGCGATTAATCAAGAAATTCTCGAAAATCTCTCGTCTTCCTCTTCGCAGAAAGGCCAGAAGAGGACGCTGTTCGTGAGGAAGCTCATCCGCGAGGTGGTGGGATTCGCTCCCTACGAGAAGAGGATCACGGAGCTGCTCAAGGTGGGCAAAGACAAGCGCGCGCTCAAGGTCGCCAAGCGGAAGCTCGGCACCCACCTGAGAGCCAAGAAGAAACGCGAGGAGATGTCCACCGTGTTGAGGAAGATGAGGTGAGCTATACATTTTTGTTCTTCCGCTCTCGCTTTGCTCACGCGCGTTCTTTGCTTTGCTTTGCTTTCCAGGTCTTCTGGGAAGTGAGTGAGACGAATGCTTGTTCTCGAAAAAAGTTTCTTTGAATCAAACACGAGTTACTATCTTTTCGATCGAAGAAGCTGAGAACATCTTGACTTTGGCTGTTCTTTTCTCAAAAACCTTTGGCTACCTGTGTGTTCTTTCTCAAAACTCTGGCACTGAGTTTTCTTTGTTTTGAAAAACAAATGCCTCGGAAGAACAGCTCGCGGGCAATGATTCCAAGCGCGAAAACAAAGAAGCGCGAGCAAGCATTGAAGAACACCAGGCATACGTACAGCGCGTTGCCAGGGAACAAGACAACGCGAATGAATGAATTCGGATGGATCGATGAATCGAGGGAGAGCTTTGCAGCTTCACAAAAATTCCTGGGTGACCACCACCAGGCAGGCACAGCAGCGGTCACGACAGCAGGAGACACAGCGCCTCAAAATTCTTGCACACCTGTAAGAAGAAGGAAAAAAAAAAAAACAAACAAAGAATCTCTGTGAGAGATGTAACATCACCACTGTTGACAAAAGCATTTACCTGTGTAGTGTCCTAGTGGGACGAAGATCAAAGGAATCACTACCGAGAAAACATTAGCACTTAAACAACCAAAAAAACGATTCTGGAATCAAGAGAGAGTCCTCACTCACAGGCTGTTTGGAAACCGACCTCGCTCGGATTGATTGATTGATTTGCTTTGTCTTTGTTATGTACACACCGATCGAAGCGATCTCTCTTTCCTCCCTTTAATGATCCTTGCTCACCTGGAACACAGCCAGCCAGCCGGGAAGATCAGCAAAACACCTGAGGAAGTGAGAGAAGTTTGCACGAGCAAGAAAGAAGAATACCCGAGCTTAAATGCTGCCGGTTGACCACGATGCGATTGGTCTGCCACTACTACTCCTCGTCGTTGCCTCCTCCGCCCGGCCCCCGGCCTCTCGCTTTATTCTCGCATTTACGCTCTGATCCCCCTCTCTGGCCTCGCACTCCCACAGCGACGGCATTGCCAGGGCGGAGGAGGAGGAGGAAGTGGTGGTCGGGTTTGTGGCGCTGTGCGGGACATAAACGCCCTCTTGCGTCGTGCCGTGTGATGGCCTGGCGTTGATGACGCCTGGCGTCGCTTGCATGGAGCTGTAAATCCCCCCCGGCGATGCCGGATCCATGAAACTTCCGTGAGACGACGGCACCGACGATCCTCCTCTCCCCGAGACGTAAGAGAAGCCGCGGAACTCTTCCAGCCTTCTCAAGCTGTATGGCGGCTGGTACGTCTGGAGGAATCCCCCACTGGCGCTGCCACCATCGATCGAGAAGCCCCCCGGAGCGCCGCCGTGGTGGCCGAACGAGAGAGCTGATCGCGTGGGCTGTGGCCGGACGAGCCCCGGCGATGCCCCGAAGTAATCGAACCGGGCTGGGCGGAAGGACGAGGCGAGCATGGGTGGCGGCGCTGGAATGCCGGTCAGGTGCTGGACCATGGATCGAAAGTTGGCGCTGTCCGCCTCGAGCACCGTGGTCGGGGGACGCCGGGACGCTCTGGATCGCTTCTTGCTCACTTTGGTGGACGTCGCGCCGGCCGAGGAGGGAGCGTTTAGAACCGAAGAGCCAGCGACTAGAATTCCAGTGCCCGAGCGATGCTCCGCCGCTGTCTCGTCACTGGATGATTTGGGAAAGCCGGGGGCGAAAGCTCCAGTAGTAGCGCTCGTGTGGAGGAAGCTGCTCGAGGCGTGATCGAAGGTGGGCGATTGCGAGGCGACGTTGCTGCCGGCTTTCAAGAGAGAGGTCATGACGGGATCCCAGCTCTGATCGTCGGATGATTTGTGATCGTGGAGGTGGCCGCTGCTGCTGCTCCATGACGGCAATTTGGAGACGACCAGCGATCCCGGGGATTGGAGCTCCATCTCTAGAGCCTCGCCCGCCTGGGATTTGAATGCCAGGTTCTCTTGGTACTCGGTCTCCCATCCCATGATAGAAGAGTGGGAGATCGGTATCTCCTGGCCCAGCCGCAAGGAAACAGATTATCGCAAACCTGGTTGGACCGATCGATACGATAGAGCTCCCGGATGTGGAATGGATCGATTTCGTGCGGTCAAGGATCAAAGATTCCGCCTAGCGCCCGCCATAGCTTCGCTTTTGTGGTGAGTCACGTACGCAATGTCGTGGGAGTACAGTCCTATCGCCACAAGGAAATGGAAATGCCACGAATCGCTGACCTGCGGGGCAAATCCGATGCTGACGCGGAGGCGCCCGTGCGCCGATCGATCGATCGAGGAAGAAGAGCGCAAGAAGAAGAAGAAGAAGAAGAAGAAGAAGAAGAAGGTTCCTATTCCCCAGGCCGGGAGGACGGAATTCCGATCCAAATTTCGAGGACGATTGAATGGGGATGCCTGTGCGCCAAGATCCTGTCTAGAGCATCACGGCGCAAGAACCTTTCTTTAGGGCCAAGAAATCTCGGAAGCCGCGGATTACGAGCGCGATCGGCCGCGCTCACGCCAGATTCCGATGCCGCAATGAGAATGCGAGGGCGGCGGAGGCGAGGTGGAGGAGGACGAGGAGGAGGAAGCGGATGAGCGAGGAGAAGAAGACGAATGATCTTAAATCCATTGTCTTGGGCAGCAAAACCGATGATCCTAAAGGCGCCATTCGCACGCTTCTCCGGATCCAACCAAAAAAAATGCGAGGGAAAGGGCCAAAACTAGAAGCGCTCTCTCTCGATGTGGCTTAAACAACCATGGAACCTCCCCGTGTCCGGCGCTCGTCACTCGCCACACAGTCAACACACAACACCTAAGAAAACGTTATTTTAAAATTGGGGCCCCCGCAACCGTCGGATAGGGGACCACGCCCCACCGTCAGATGCCCGCAACTGGATGGATATTCTAGTATATGCTTCACTAAAATTAAAGTATGGTCGATTAGTATGATGAGTAGCAAAAGATGATAGCAAAATATATGATGAAACAAGTTGTTCCAAAGTTCCAAGGATATGATGATCCATCGTTCCTGGAATTTTCTTTTTTCGTGTCACTCCCCCTTGAACCATCCATTCTGCCACATGATCCTGCCTGTTTGATCCGCCGCTGCGTTTGCTGCCGATGATCCTGACGAGCTCCGCCTTCCAAATCGCAAGAACTTCCGGATGCCTCTGAGCGGCTTTGACGTCGACGAAGAGTCGAGCTTTGCGCACGATGGAGCCGAGTTCTTCTTCTCGAGCAGTGCGGTGGCGTGGCCCCGGGCGTCTGGCGATGGCAGCCTGCACATATGAGGAAGCTTGTGAGACGCGGACTTGAGAGGCTTGATACCGATGGTAGCGGCGCTGGTGGCGGCGGTGGCGGAGTTGGAAGTGGTGGCGTTGCTTTGAGTGTTGTGCTCGTTGGCCAAGAGATCGAAGAGCGGCTGCCTGGTCGGAGAGCCCGGCTCGCTGGACGATCGGGCCATCGCAGCGTCCGAAGAGCTCTTCCTCGTCTCCACCACTGCGGGGAAGATCGTGCACTTCGGCTGCGTCTGTCCGGCCACCACGACTTTCCTCGGGAGAAACGAGCCAACCATGAGCGTCGGGGAGTCCGGATTGTAGATGGCTGTCGCCTCTTCTCCCTCGTCTTTGCTCGAGCCGAAGCTCTCGACTTTTGGGTCGCCAGGGCCGCATATCGCACTGGACACGCCTGACGCCTCCGACTGCGTTCCCGTGGTGCTGCTGAAGTCCTCCAGCGGCGGATACACCTTGTAGGCGGCCGGGAACTGCTTCTGGTCGAGCTCGGCAAGCTCGAAGAGAGGAGTTGCCTTGGCTTTCTCGAATGGCGGCGCTTTCTCCGGGATCTCGACGTCGACGACTTTCTTCACTTCCGAGAGCTCGTCCTCCCTCTCAAGCTCTTCAATCAGAACGCTCATGTCAATGGAGGCATGAGCTTCTCTGGCTGCTGCTGCGTTGCTCACGTCTGGAGCTGTTTCAAGCACAACTTCGACAGTATCAGAGTCGGGACTCCCGACCCTCATACTGGACTCGAGACGATGTTCATCTGTTTCTCCGCCCTTCAACTCCCGGTTATCAACCTCCTGCTTGACTTCCTCAGCACTAGCACCTTCCACAGTTGGTATGCATGCTTCGTCTTTCACCTGCATTTCTGCCTGGGCCACGTCCGGACAGGCTTCGACGTCTGTCACCTCCACTCGTAAGAAAGTCACCTCCGGTTCTAGATCATCTGCCAAGTTCTCTTTCTGTAAAGACGTCGCGTTCCCAGCAACTGAACAGGAGCATGAACTCTCCGTGTCATCGCCCTCGAGCTTCATCTCAAAAATCTCGCTGCTGGCGGAGCAACTGTCGGCACTGGTTTTCTGCGACTTTGAGTCTTCCTCTGTTGGTTTACCTTTCACATAACTGCTTGCAGATGGTTGCCGAGTCTGAGGCACTTTCTTTTGATAAACTGCACCGTCGGACTTGGAGGCTTTGCCCGGTTCTCCTTTAAGCTGATTGTTGTCAACGATTTTCTTCGTCATAAACGGAGGCCCCTTACTCTTTCGCTCCAAGAACTTAAACTTCTGGGGGCCCTCGAGATCACTTGTGTATAAGGGGTCGGCGTTCTCTTTGCCGTGTTCCAAATGCAAGCTCTCTGCAGACCTTCTTTGTATTTTGCTGCCTGAAGAGCTTGAGGCACGAACTGTTGTGCTTGATTTTTGAGAAGAAGGTGAAGACTTTCTGACAGAGATAGTCCTAGCGTTGTTTGCGTCTGCCTTTAACACCAGAGGAGCGGAATGAACGCTTGACACGGAACCCGTTCGCTTCGAAGGAATCCTAAGCTCGCAGCTTTTGGACTCCACGTCCTGTTATAGAAGCGTAAGAACTCTGGCAACTGAGATAAAGAGATACAATACCTTTTTACTTCTTGATGTCAAGGTGGCAGTTTTATCGGTTAATCTCATGCTGCGTGTAGACAGTTCTGCTCTCCGTGTTTCCAGCACGTCCTGCATAGCCTTGAGCTTCGCTTCCTTTTCCGCTTTCTTCAAAACAGGTTCATGCTTCAGTTTGGCTTCTCTTTTTTCTTGATACTGGTCGTAAAACCGTCCCTTCGATTCTTTCTTCTCAGCCTTCTGAGTGTTGTAACTTTCAAGGTCGCTAGTCTTCCAGACACAAAGTGACTGTCTTCTGTTGTTCTGCGCAACGGTGGCTCTCTGGTCGAGGAACATGTCGTCAAAAACGAATCCCGACGACTTGGATAATGGTCTCCACTCAATGTTATCCAATTCCTCCAACTCCGTTGCCTCAGCCACGACAGCTAAAGCGCTGGGTTTTCGAATCGCCTGCTTATCTTCCTTGCAGCTAGGATGCTGCAATAAAAGAGTTTGCTGAGGGACGACTTCCTCCGGACCGGCTTCAGGAACCGCTTCAAGGTCGGCTATGGTCGGTTCCACTATCACTGTGTGCTTGTCTGGCTCGCTTTCTGCTACATGTTGTTCTTCAGAAATAGCTGGCTTTACGGGCTCCGTCACTTCGATGTCTTCTTTGGTGATCTTTTTCTTCAAAGCATCGTCCACCTTCTGCTGTTTGCTTTCGAACAGGCTAATGGCATCTTGAACGCTTATAGTTTTGTGCTCGACCTTGCTTCTAGAAGATTGGAGCAGCACGTAAGGATTGTTCACCGATTCCCTGGCTCCAACGACTAAGTCCTCGTCTGCGAGAGGGCTAGGATCCTCAGTCTTCTGTCTTCTGATAACCCGTTTGCCGTCTGGAGACATCAAAGACCCGTTTTCTACTTTCCTCGCATGCAACTGCTGCAAGGTGCTTAAAACCTGTGGATCCCATGTCTTACGTGCTTTGCTTTTTCCTGATCCACTGCTCGTTTCCTCTGTGCTGTCGCTGGTTTCTGACTTGTTCGACATCAGCTGTATGCTGGCATCCGACGAACCCGAAGAGATAGAATCGAATAAAGATTCTTCTGGATTCAATCCTGAATCCTGCCTCTTCTTGCATAGTGTCATATATTTCAAACACGCCTCCCTGCAAGTACATCTTCGGTTAGTACATGACAAATTCAACAAAATATTGTACCAAAGACGTGGTGCACCAAAACAGTTCGCAAATACCATCAGGTCCGAAATGCACGAGACGTTGAATCCCGCGGCAGTAGCATGAGAGAATGCTTTTTTCTGTTCGTGCATAAGCATCATCCTACGCATTTCCATCGCTTTGAGCAAATCCTTCCTGCAAAACTTGCAAATGATCAATACATCTTTCTCTTGATACACGAAACGCACTTGGAACCATCTAATAGAGCAATGCCTGCATAGTCAAACGAAGGTCGCTTCGGGTAAACCTACAAAAAAGTTAGTGACGAAGATCCACAACTGCGCACTTGAGTGATACGTTTACGTACCTTGGTCTGGCTTCCGTGTTGCTCTACATCAGACTTGTACAAAGAAAGATTTCCTGCACAGACGAGACATTTGAGACTTCAGAAGCCCTTGCAAAGTGTGAAAAAAGTACCTGTTCTTGGAGTAACAGGAGCACTCTAGAATCGAAGCACGGGATCAGTAATTCTGAAAAAGAACTCAAGCGACGCCTTACCCATGAAGAATCAGAAACAAGGATCGAGGTTGCATCATCGAGCTTTGCGAGCTCCGCTTCGAGTACGCTAACACTCTCCAAAACATCCGGAGTGCTGACAAATCTCACAAATCTAGCTCCAAAAGGAATAAAAAAATTTAAGCACACAGATAATTTAAAATGAAGTTGTAATAGCTTACCGTTCTACAGTTCTCTTAGTGAACCAAGGGGATCCATCCCCAACGAAAGGCGGGGCTTGCAATATGATGAAGCTCCCCCCTTTCGCGATCTGCTCCTTAGCAGCCCTGAGATGCGCTACAAACGGCTTGACCGATCCAGAGGCCAGCTTCTCGTTCTTATCTCCAGCGCATATCCAAAGCTCACATCTGCGAAAGAAATCCCAGTAGCAAAGCGGCATTCCTCGCGACAAACCTCACCTGGCCTCGTTGAGCTGGAAAACGCAGTAGTCCAACGGCGTTTCCCCCTTCATCCCTGCCGGAATCACTCGATCCCACCCTGATCTAGCTGCACGGCGCCGCAACCACTCAAACCCTGAGCAGCAATCTTGTTTCCCTTGCCTGGATCGCCAATGCTGCTACAGATTTCGCTACCGGTAGCGAAGAACGCGGCGCCAGCGCCAGAGAAAGAAACGCGAGAGAGCAGTCTTCCGCGGCATGGCGATCCTGGCGCTAGCGCGCCCAAAATCTCTCCTGTACTTTAAGCCCTAGAGAATGATCGAAGCCTGTGTTCTGTTCTTCCGGAGTAGCCTAGAACAGTATAAATATTTCGAAAGAAAAAAAGATTTTGGAGCCACCATATTTTTCACTGCCCGCCACTGTCATGCCGCCACGTTCACAAGATTTTGGAGGGAAAATTTCAAACTGGTACGGTGTTCGAAACCAGCCACCCTTACATTGTTTATAGCGCGCTGGTAGCACAGTATCCATGTTACGATGTGACATTGGTAAACGTTATAATTCAAAGAAAACGAGGTGTGTGTGTGTTCTTTCGGCGATGGCGATTTCTTTCTCTTTCTTTCCCTCTTGGATTTAGGTCTTCTTGATTGCGCTGCCATCGCCACTAGTGCCGCGTGACAGGCGCATGGATCTCTAGCGGTATGAATGCGATGCTTGTTCTAGAAGAGGTCTTCCTGGCGCAAGTGGGGTACTCGTGTCAGATCGATCGATCATCGCTAAGCTTCGAGATTTAGGGCAACAAGGATGGAGTGCTATGTTGTGGTACACAATGTCGCAAAGCGGCACAACATTGGGACGCTTGCTCGCAGCGCCACGGCCTTTGGCGTTTCGGAGATGATCCTCGTCGGGAAGAAGGATTTCAACAGCTTTGGCAGCCATGGCTCCGCGCACCATGTCCGCTTCCGGCACTTCCATTCGCTCCTCGAGGCCAGGGATTATCTCAAGGTTTGGTCGATGATTTTTTCATTCCTTCCTTGACGTGTGGCTTCCAAAGGGAATAGGTTGTGATATCTGTGGAGTGGAGATAACCGAGGGAGCTGTGGCTGTGCACAAGCATCCATTCCAACGTAGCACTGCGTTTTTGCTTGGTAACGAGGTTAGAGAGCTCCCTGTTGGCGATCAACGTCGATCACCTTTAGATGTGTTTCGTCCCAGGGAACTGGTTTATCGCCCAAGGAAATGGAGATTTGCGACTTCTTCACCTACATACCTCAAGTTGGCTGCGGCACTGCGTCGCTAAACGTTACAGTCGCTGCGTCGATCGTCCTGCACCACTTCTCTGGCAAGTGTGCTTTAAGTTCGATGACAAAACTCTGTTTTCTCACTTCCCTTTCTTTCAGTATGGGCTGGTTTTCCCGAACGTGAGAGAGACGGCCAGAAGTTCATCGTTGCCGACCGTCCTGCCCGTCGCCAAGGCCTGATATGCTCAAATCCGGAAGAAGTCACTCAAGCGCGGCAGCAAAAGAAACTAAACGGCTCTACCGACTGGCTAGACTCGGAAGACCAAGCTACGGCTCCCGACGAACAAAGAATCGCAGGTTCTTTGCTTGGAATTTTTGACGACTAACACGTAAATCCCCGGTAGAGTTCTGAGTTCCACAGAAACTCGACTTTTCCAGGACTACCAAGTAGGGTTCTTGGCATCAGTGTGTGATGAGGTGAAGTTCTCTCCGGCACTGCTTTCCAGCGAATTATGCCTGGACCAGGCCCTCACCTCATGTACACACTTGCCATGGGTACAGGAATGATGCATCTCTCGCGAGGAGCTTTCACCTCGCACCACTGTCTCGTCTACACGCTCAATGCGTTCCTCGGACCGGACTTGGGCTCCTTTTGCGAATGGCTTGCACAGACGAGCAGCTTTGGTCGGGCTCTCGGCTCCAAAGCCATGGACTACGTCCACGACCCAGTGTACTATGTACTAATCCTGGGAGCTCCTCTCTGTTTCATGTACAGCAAGCTTTCAAGAATTCTACTCCAGGCCGGATTTCTTCCAACACTACCCGGGGTAAAGCTTGTTTTTTTTTCCTCCTTTCTTACTTATCCTTGCTATTTGTTGTGTTTGCAGGTCCACTTGAAGCCTAAAGAGTGCTTGTACCTCATCGCGGCCGGGAGTCTCTCACATTTTTTTCTTGACAACTTGTTCGAGGTAATTCACACGAGATCTAAGAACGCGAGTTTGAGTTTTGTGAGAATCCGTGGCAGGAAAATGGTCACACGAAAATGCTTGTGTGGATTCTAAGCACGGGGTGGTGGCAAGGCGCTGCTCCGCTCGATTTCATGTCGGTTTTGATTGTGGGACTGCTCTGCAGTGTACTCCTTGCAAGTTTCATCTACATCAACAGGTAAGTTCTTTCGAGAACTCCTTCGATCAAACTTAGTTTTCTCTTTCTTTGTTCTTTAGATCGATCAAGACAAATCATTCGCAGCCTCTTCGAGCGCTGGCTTCCATCGCCATAGTCGCGGCTCTCTACACCCTCTGGTGTGCGATCAGAGTCTACGTGATGGTTCCCCGATTGCCTGCCGTGGGAGAAGAAGCCGATTTGGGAGTTTTGGTCTTCTTAGCGATTTTTTTCTTCGCCCCTCATGCGCTGTGCGTGGCGTCCATGCACAGCATTGACACTTCCAGTGAAATCCATATGGTGTAGAGTTTTTTTTTACTTTGTGTCTGGCCTGAGAATTAGGGTTTATGGGTAAGGGCAAAGCGAGGCGGAGGCGGCAGCACAACTATGAGGCGGCGCACAGGACAGGTCTGGAGCTGGCGCCTCCGCCAGTGATGAAGGATGTGGACGCGATTCCCAGTAAGCTTCGCGCGATCATGAAATTCATGGATCCTCGCGAGGGTAAGTCTTTGTCGATTTTCCTTGGGAAACTTTGCCTCTAAAAATGTGGTCTCCAAGGCAAGCAGCCAATATCAGCTGGCAAAGTTGAGAATGTAAGTAGCTTTCTTTCATGCCTAGCTAGAACTTACTCGTGTTTTTTGCTTGCTAGGCAACAACAGTGAAGAAAGATGCGGTAGGGGCTCCTTCCACCGATCAAACTCCGGCTGATGCAAGTAAGCCCGGATCCAAAAAGAGGAGGCGAAACACCGGCTTGGACGAGTTTGCCGAGAAGCTGAAAGCCGAGAACGCTGGAGGCAAGAGTCGGGAGCGACGCAAGAAGTAAGCTGTAGAAGCAAAGCTTCCAAATGCCACAATGCTGACCACACCATGGCACAGGTTTCTCAAGGAGAGGAAGGAAAAGAAGAAGCAAAAGCAGCTGGATGCCATAGACCACAGCCTCCAGCAACTGTACAAGCACGAACAAGTCACGTTTGGAGAGGTTGCTCAAGCTCCCCCAAAGCTACCTCGGCTGCGCAAGAAGGTATGTGTCCTGGAAACCGTGCAAGCCATTTCCAACTTAGTACGTGGCTCTTTTCGGTTGTGTCCAGGATGAAGATGCCGCTGGGCCATCGCTGGTCTCGCAGGAGCGCCGGAGGCTCCAAGCGGTGGAGGCGTATAGAATGAAGAGGGATTGGCAGTCGAGGCCTGGCTCACGACTTGACTCGAATCTGAGCTAAGTTTTTTCCTCTTTTCCTTCCTTTTCTAGAGAATCCCAGGAACTTCGAGCCAGCGCTCTCTCTGTCAACACAAGCGAGCTAGGCAGGCAAAAAATGCCAAGCCAAGCAGAAGGGAAAAAAGAGAAGGAAAAAAAAAAGTGAGGCTCCACTTACGCGTAGTCGAGCTGATGTCCTTCACGCTGTCCTCTACGTACGATAGGGTGGAATCTTTTGCGGAAATTTTCGAAAGCGGACACTTATTGTCCTGGTGCTGAGAGGATGGACGATGATTTGGATGGCTTACGTAAGGTCGGCAAGCATTCGCATGACAATAGCGAAAGAGCGAAAGGGAAAGCAAAGCATGCTAGAAACTACCCGAGTTTGTTTAGAAATGGATGTGTCAAAAGCAAATGCTAGATATGCTCCATTTTCCAGCATTTTCCAGTATTTTCCAGCTATCCATCTTGTTCGTGAACTTCAAAAAAGCTTTGTCTATGCGGTGGTATGTTTCAATTCTGGCATTTAAAACCCAATTCGGTAGTTGCAATAGCAAGCATGTCCCAGTGCTCGAATGAAAAGAGGCCAAACTCTCTCTTGTCTTTAAATCTCTCCAAATTATCATATCTAATTTGTAGACACTCTTTCTACAACATGCACACAAAACAAAAGGACTGGAACAGTACAACCACATGGCTATGACCATTCTTCTTCTTCTTCTTCTTCTCTTTTTTGTCTATGATCTTCTGTTCTCTAGATGACTGAGGAGAAGAAGAAAAGAAAAGGGTAGATTGGATCCACCAAAGTCTTTGTAGTCTTTGGTCCTGGGCTCTCCAACACTTAATTAAGAGCAGTGTTCTTTGGGCTTGAGAGATGTGTGCGCTTAATGATCCATCTTGGACTAAACGGGATAGAAAATGTTTAGTCTTCCTCTGGGGGCGAGAGCACGGGGAAGTGAATTGAATTACTAGTCCCCAAGGTTGAGAAGCTTCTCCCCTTTTGTTTGCCAACCAAACCACCTGGGTTTTGGATTTTCTCAGTATTTAAGCTGGAGGATTTGCAAACTGCAAAAAAGAAAAACATACCACCAAAAACACAGTAAAAGGACAAAAAAAATTAAGAAGAAAAAGGTTTTTGCATTGAATGTCTCTGCAGAAGGCATGGCTGGCTTGGGTCTGTAATGTGTAAGGTAAGGTAAGGCTGCTGGCTGCTGGCTGCTGCTTCTCATACTACATACATGGATGGATATTGATAGTCCCTCTGCTGGCCACTCCTCTTACAGGTGCAAGAGTGTTTTTGGTGATCAAGTGTTACTTCTCACAAACACTCCCTTGGTCCCAAGGGAGGATTTGTGTGCTCCCTTTTCCTTGTACTCAATCTTGCAGTTCTTTCAATATGCCTGCACCTCTGTTTTCTCTTTCCTTTTTTTCCTCTAAGAATGTGATTGATCCTACAGTTGTATGCTTTTCTTTTCTCCTTTTGCAGCAGATGGGCTGCTGCGGATAGCTGAGCTAGCTGATGCAGTGCTGCAGAGACTGCAGCAGAGGAATTGAATCCTGTCTGCTTTGGGTTGCTTTCTCTCCTTGAGAATTGCAGCTCTTTTCCTCCCTCTTTTTCTCTCTCCCCCGCTTTAGTAGCTCTGTGATTTCTTCAGGGGCATTTGCTGCTAGAGAAGGAAAAGGAAAATAGGATAGGACTACCCTCTCAACTCTGGTGTAGATTCCTCAAATTCCAAACGTTTTTCCTATGGAGTTGTTCTTGCTGACGCGCGCTCTGTGAGAGCAGACAATTGCAGCTGAAAATTTCCCCGCGAGCGGCATTTTTGATCCCCAAAACTCCTCCCGCTCGAGCTTCGATCTCTCTCTCTCTCTTTCTCATTCGCTTTCTCCTCCCGGCGAGAGAAACTTTATGGATGTGAGACTAGCCGTGTGGGGCGTTTTTGGCGGCCTGGGCTTCGCCTTCTTCCTCATGCTCATCGAGCTCCTGCGCAGATACGGAGGGCGGGACGGCGCGGGATCGTCCAGCAGTGCACCAATCCTCGCGGATTCTTCATCCACCGCAGCAGCGGCGGCAGCGGCGGAGCTCTCAGTGGCCAATCTCCTCCGCCAGGTCCTCCGCGACTTCTCCTACCAGCAGCTCCACCAGGCCACCAACGGCTTCGCGCAGGGCAATCTCCTCCGCGAGGGGCTCTTTGCGGGCACCCTGGGCGGGGACGGCAAGGAAGCGGTGGTGATCAAGAGCGTGGAGAGCCGCGAGATGTTTGACGCGGAGGTGGCGATGCTGGCGGGGCTGGGCCACAGCAGCAGCGCCAACAGGTTCGTCCAGATCATCGGCATTTGCAGCAGCAGCAGCGCCGGAGGAGGGGGAGGAGGCGATTGCGCGGATGGGCATGCGCAGCGAATGCTGCTGGTGCTGCGCCAGATGCCCAACGGAGATCTGGCGTCGGCGCTGCGCCGGGGCGACGAATTCAAATCCTCCGACGGCGAGACGAGCGAGTCCTCGGACTCGTCCAGCGCCGGATCCGCCAAGCCGCTGGACTGGATCACGCGGTTCAAGATCGCGATTGGCGTCGCCGAGGCCCTCGCCTTCCTCCACCACGACTGCTCCCCGGCAGTAATTCACAGGTCAGTTTCATCCCAGATTAGGGTTTATCAAGGTTTAGCTTACCACCTTTTTCGTGGTTTTAGGGCTAGGCCTGCCACCTTTTGCCCCTTACCCATGGATGTCTTGCCTTGCAGGGATTTGAAATCCAGCAGCGTTTTCCTGGACGAAGGGTACGAGGTCCGGCTGGGGAGCTTCGGCAAAGCCTGCCGGCAGCAGTACGGAAACGACGTGTTCCCTGTGTACGACATATACTGCTACGGGAAGGTTTTGCTCGACCTGTTGTCGGGGCTGGACATCAGTAGCTGCTGCGACGGATTCGGCGAGGCGTGGCTGCACAGGGCGCTGCCGCTGATGGAATTCGGGAAGCGCGATGCCTTCCTGAGGCTGGTGGATCCGACACTGGTGCTGGACGAGGATCACGTCAAGGAGCTCATGCTGCTGGCGGTGATCGCCAAGTCGTGCCTGGATCCCGAGCACGCCCAGCACCAGACCATGTCTAATGTGCTCCATATGCTGCAGAACCCAGCCTTCTTTCTCGCTCTGGCGGGGCAAGGTTGATTGATGCGGTCTGGTCCACAGAATCATGGAATGAAGGTGGAGTTTCAATCCGTAAAGAGGGATTGAGATTGGATCCCCTGAAAAGTTTTGCATGTTAGAGAGATGTAAATATGAAGACATGTAAAATGCGAATCAAAACTAAAAGGTACATGTACTCATCGACAAAGCATCGCATAAAGCTAGAGCAGAGTGAGCAAAACTTTTTCAAGTATACTGGATGCAACTTAAACTTTCTACAAATCAGATTTCTCTGCATGCAAAGTCTATTAACTTGTTTCTTGCTCATCATTTGTCAATCCTTCTTCCAAATTGTAGCCCTCGAGCTTTCATTCCCAGATGTTGAGCTTTCCTGACCGGCATGACAACAGGCCAACTTCCAGGACGCACTTTAGTGTCCCTGACCCTGTAATGTGAGAAATCGGGGATACAAGCCTAGGTTCAGACACAGTCTGAGATAGTTGGTGGAAGGGGACGACTCCATCAGGACTCAGCACCTGTCATGGCTTCCACGACGTTCTTCCAAGATCGTCCAGATGGTACCCAAAGTGAAGCCCGGACAGCGTGTGAGCAACAGAGTTTAGGGCCGTCTCCATGCACTGCTGCTTCTCCTCCTCCCAGATTTTGCAGACTTCACCAGGCTCTGAGCCTACGCCACGTCCAGAAAGGCTCCAGCAGCAGAATGCACCCCCCGTAATGTGCGTAAACGTCATCCCAACACCTCCGCTCCAAGCCCCTCCCGGTTGACGAACGAGTCTCTTATGGACTGCCACGAACTCTTTGGCCTCCTCTTCGTTCAAGTAACCAACAGTTGCCGTGACGACGTTCTTATGACCACGGATCGGTTCCAGGCCACACAGGAAGAAGTTCTACGATGAAGCCAAAACCACGTTAGTCGCATTCTGCTGCTTGGAAATCAGTAGGGCTTCCAGATTGGCAGCATCCTCTGCGCTTTTTGTCCAGCTA